CACTGTGATACAGATCGTTTTCCCACTAGTTACTTACCTCCTGCACAGTGATACAGATCGTATTACTCTAGTTACTTACCTACTTCACTGTGATGCAGATCCTTTCACACTAGTTACTTACCTACTCCACTGTGATGCAGATCGTTTCACCTAGTTACTTACCTACTGCACTGTGATGCAGATCGTTTCCACGGCTCTAGTTACTTTACCTACCGCACAGAGATACAGGCCGTTTCACACTAGTTACTTACCTCCTGCACGGTGATTCAGGTCGTTTGACCTTAGTTAATTACCTCCTGCACAGTGATACAGGTCGTTTCACACTGATTCTTACCTACTGCACAGAGATACAGGTCGTTCACGCTAGTTACTTACCTCCTGCACAGTGATTACAGGTCGTTTCACGCTAGTTACTTACCTCCTGCACAGTGATACAGGTCGTTTCACGCTAGTTACTTACCTCTTACACAGTGATACAGATCGTTTCATGCTGGTTACCACCTCCTGCACAGAGATACAGGTCGTTTCACACTAGTTGCTTACCTACTGCACAGTGATACAGATCGTTTCGCTCCTGGTTGCTTACCTACCGCACAGAGATACAGGCCGTTTCACATTAGTTACTTACCTCCTGCACAGTGATACAGTTCGTTTTACTCTAGTTACTTACCTCTTGCACTGTGATACAGATCGTTTTACTCTAGTTACTTAGCTACTGCACTGTGATACAGATCATTTCACTCTAGTTACTTACCTCCTGCACAGAGATACAGATCGTTTTACTCTAGTTACTTACCTCTTGCACAGAGATACAGGTCGTTTTACTCTAGTTACTTACCTACTGCACTGTGATACAGATCGTTTCACACTAGTTACTTACTTACTGCACTGTGATACAGCTCGTTTTACGCTAGTTACTTACCTCCTACACTGTGATACAGATCGTTTCACTCTAGTTACTTACCTCTTGCACAGAGATACAGGTCGTTTTACACTAGTTACTTACCTACTGCACAGAGAAGCAGGTCGTTTTACTCTAGTAACTTACCTCCTGCACAGTGATGCAGATCGTTTCACACTAGTTACTTACCTCCTGCACTGTGATGCAGATCGTTTCACACTAGTTACTTACTTCCTGCACAGTGATACAGATCGTATTACTCTAGTTACTTACCTTCTGCACTGTGATACAGATCGCTTCACACTAGTTACTTACCTACTGCACTGTGATGCAGATCGTTTTACACTAGTTACTTACCTACTGCACTGTGATACAGATCGTTTTACTTTAGTTACTTACCTCTTGCACAGAGATACAGGTCGCTTTACTCTAGTTACTTACCTACTGCACTGTGATACAGATCGTTTTACTCTAGTTACGTACCTCCTGCACGGTGATACAGATCGTTTTACTCTAGTTACTTACATCTTGCACAGAGATACAGGTCGTTTTACTCTAGTTACGTACCTTCTGCACTGTGATACAGATCGTTTTACTCTAGTTACTTACCTCTTGCACAGAGATTCAGGTCGTTTTACTCTAGTTACTTACCTCCTGCACTGTGATACAGATCGTTTTACTTTAGTTACTTACCTCCTGCACAGTGATACAGATCGTTTTACGATAGTTACTTACCTACTGCACTGTGATACAGATCGTTTTACTCTAGTTACTTACCTACTACACAGAGATACAGGACGTTTTACTCTAGTTACTTACCTACTGCACAGTGATACAGATCGTTTCACTCTAGTTACTTACCTACTGCACTGTGATGCAGATCATTTCACACTAGTTATTTACCTCCTGCACAGTTATACAGATCGTATTACTCTAGTTACTTACCTCCTGCACTATGATACAGATCGTTTCACACTAGTTACTTACCTCCTGCACTGTGATGCAGATCGTTTCACACTAGTTACTTACCTCCTGCACCGTGATACAGATCGTTTTACTCTAGTTACTTACCTCTTGCACAGAGATACAGGTCGTTTTACTCTAGTTACTTACCTACTGCACTGTGATACAGATCGTTTCACACTAGTTACTTACCTACTGCACTGTGATACAGATCGTTTCACACTAGTTACTTACCTCCTGCACAGTGATACAGATCGTATTACTCTAGTTACTTACCTACTGCACTGTGATGCAGATCATTTCACACTAGTTATTTACCTCCTGCACAGTTATACAGATCGTATTACTCTAGTTACTTACCTCCTGCACTATGATACAGATCGTTTCACACTAGTTACTTACCTCCTGCACTGTGATGCAGATCGTTTCACACTAGTTACTTACCTCCTGCACTGTGATACAGATCGTTTTACTCTAGTTACTTACCTCTTGCACAGAGATACAGGTCGTTTTACTCTAGTTACTTACCTACTGCACTGTGATACAGATCGTTTCACACTAGTTACTTACCTCCTGCACAGTGATACAGGTCGTTTGACGCTAGTTAATTACCTCCTGCACAGTGATACAGGTCGTTTCACGCTAGTTACTTACCTACTGCACAGAGATACAGGTCGTTTCACGCTAGTTACTTACCTCCTGCACAGTGATACAGGTCGTTTCACGCTAGTTACTTACCTCCTGCACAGTGATACAGGTCGTTTCACGCTAGTTACTTACCTCTTACACAGTGATACAGATCGTTTCACGCTAGTTACTTACCTCCTGCACAGAGATACAGGTCGTTTCACACTAGTTACTTACCTACTGCACAGTGATACAGATCGTTTCGCTCTAGTTACTTACCTACCGCACAGAGATACAGGCCGTTTCACACTAGTTACTTACCTCCTGCACAGTGATACAGTTCGTTTTACTCTAATTACTTACCTCTTGCACTGTGATACAGATCGTTTTACTCTAGTTACTTAGCTACTGCACTGTGATACAGATCATTTTACTCTAGTTACTTACCTCCTGCACAGAGATACAGATCGTTTTACTCTAGTTACTTACCTCTTGCACAGAGATACAGGTCGTTTTACTCTAGTTACTTACCTACTGCACTGTGATACAGATCGTTTCACACTAGTTACTTACCTCCTACACTGTGATACAGATCGTTTCACTCTAGTTACTTACCTCTTGCACAGAGATACAGGTCGTTTTACACTAGTTACTTACCTACTGCACAGAGATGCAGGTCGTTTTACTCTAGTAACTTACCTCCTGCACAGTGATGCAGATCATTTCACACTAGTTACTTACCTCCTGCACTGTGATGCAGATCGTTTCACACTAGTTACTTACTTCCTGCACAGTGATACAGATCGTATTACTCTAGTTACTTACCTTCTGCACTGTGATACAGATCGCTTCACACTAGTTACTTACCTACTGCACTGTGATGCAGATCGTTTTTCACTAGTTACTTACCTACTGCACTGTGATACAGATCGTTTTACTTTAGTTACTTACCTCTTGCACAGAGATACAGGTCGCTTTACTCTAGTTACTTACCTACTGCACTGTGATACAGATCGTTTTACTCTAGTTACGTACCTCCTGCACTGTGATACAGATCGTTTTACTCTAGTTACTTACATCTTGCACAGAGATACAGGTCGTTTTACTCTAGTTACGTACCTTCTGCACTGTGATACAGATCGTTTTACTCTAGTTACTTACCTCTTGCACAGAGATTCAGGTCGTTTTACTCTAGTTACTTACCTCCTGCACTGTGATACAGATCGTTTTACTTTAGTTACTTACCTCCTGCACAGTGATACAGATCGTTTTACGATAGTTACTTACCTACTGCACTGTGATACAGATCGTTTTACTCTAGTTACTTACCTACTGCACAGAGATACAGGACGTTTTACTCTAGTTACTTACCTACTGCACAGTGATACAGATCGTTTCACTCTAGTTACTTACCTACTGCACTGTGATCCAGATCATTTCACACTAGTTATTTACCTCCTGCACAGTTATACAGATCGTATTACTCTAGTTACTTACCTCCTGCACTATGATACAGATCGTTTCACACTAGTTACTTACCTCCTGCACTGTGATGCAGATCGTTTCACACTAGTTACTTACCTCCTGCACTGTGATACAGATCGTTTTACTCTAGTTACTTACCTCTTGCACAGAGATACAGGTCGTTTTACTCTAGTTACTTACCTACTGCACTGTGATACAGATCGTTTCACACTAGTTACTTACCTACTGCACTGTGATACAGATCGTTTCACACTAGTTACTTACCTCCTGCACAGTGATACAGATCGTATTACTCTAGTTACTTACCTACTGCACTGTGATGCAGATCGTTTCACACTAGTTACTTACCTACTCCACTGTGATGCAGATCGTTTCACACTAGTTACTTACCTCTTGCACAGAGATACAGGTCGTTTTACTCTAGTTACTTACCTACTGCACTGTGATACAGATCGTTTCACACTAGTTACTTACCTACTGCACTGTGATACAGATCGTTTCCCACTAGTTACTTACCTCCTGCACAGTGATACAGATCGTATTACTCTAGTAACTTACCTCCTGCACTGTGATACAGATCGTTTCACACTAGTTACCTACTGCACTGTGATACAGATCGTTTCACTCTAGTTACTTACCTACCGCACAGAGATACAGGCCGTTTCACACTAGTTACTTACCTCCTGCACAGTGATACAGGTCGTTTGACGCTAGTTAATTACCTCCTGCACAGTGATACAGGTCGTTTCACGCTAGTTACTTACCTACTGCACAGAGATACAGGTCGTTTCACGCTAGTTACTTACCTCCTGCACAGTGATACAGGTCGTTTCACGCTAGTTACTTACCTCCTGCACAGTGATACAGGTCGTTTCACGCTAGTTACTTACCTCCTGCACAGAGATACAGGTCGTTTGACACTAGTTACTTACCTCCTGCACAGTGATACAGATCGTTTCACACTAGTTACTTACCTCCTGCACAGTGATACAGGAAAGACGTTTCTTTTCAACCAGTTACCTACCTCCTGCACAAGCCAATGGCGACAATAACGACGAGGATGAATATTCCACCGGCCACGGCACCGACGACTACGCCAACGTTTGATCCTGGAAAACATCCACATTTGATTTCTTGACAAAACTGTTCCTTGCACACTCGGCGACAATACAAAACTGTTCCTTGCACACTCGGCGACTATACAAAACTGTTCCTTGCACACTCGGCGACAATACAAAACTGTTCCTTGCACACTCAGCGACAATACAAAAATGTTCCTTGCACACTCGGTGACTATACAAAACTGTTCCTTGCACACTCGGTGAAAATACAAAACTGTTCCTTGCACACTCGGCGACTATACAAAACTGTTCCTTGCACACTCGACGACAATACAAAACCGTTCCTTGCACACTCGGCGACAATACAAAACTGTTCCTTGCACACTCGACGACAATACAAAACTGTTCCTTGCACACTCGGCGACAATACAAAACTGTTCCTTGCACACTCGGCGACAATACAAAACTGTTCCTTGCACACTCGGCGACAATACAAAACTGTTCCTTGCACACGCGGCGAAAATGTTCCTTGCACACTCGGTGACATTACAAAACTGTTCCTTGCACACTCGGCGACAATACAAAACTGTTCCTTGCACACTCGGCGACTATACAAAACTGTTCCTTGCACACTCGGCAACAATACAAAACTGTTCCTTGCACACTCGGTGACAATACAAAACTGTTCCTTGCACACTCGGCGACAATACAATACTGTTCCTTGCACACTCGGCGACAATACAAAACTGTTCCTTACACACTCGGCGACAATACAAAACTGTTCCTTACACACTCGGCGACAATACAAAACTGTTCCTTGCACACTCGGCGACAATACAAAACTGTTCCTTGCACACTCGGCGACAATACAAAACTGTTCCTCACAATAGTGGACATTACAAAACTGTCGAAGGTGCTGGGAAGTTATGTTTTATGTTTCCACACCCTGCTTTATATAGTTTATACAGAGATACAAGGTTGTGTACTTAGTCACATATTGTTTTCTCATAGTGTATTATCAGAATAACTATCAAAACATGGTAAATACGGCATAGTGTATTATCAGAATAACTATCAAAACATGGTAAAACCTGATTTGTTAGAAATTCTACATCCCATGTTTTCAGACGATGTTGTACTTGTACTTGTACTTGATACTGTTCCTGGATTACCACATCAACTCAACATATTACATGATTTTATACAACACTTCGGTTTAATGGTGAAACTTGATAAAACCAATGTTGTTGTTTTTCGAAGGGGTGGACTCTTACCTAAGCATGAACAGCTGTTTTTAGAAACAGTTCATTCATTTGCATGTAAAAGATATTTAAATGTTAGCCCACAAATCACGAAAGCAATTGTATATGGAGAATGCGGCAAGTATCCGCTTTATATTAACGCAATGTGTAAAACATTAAGATATTGGCTACGGGTTTTAACCGGATCCCACTGAAAGTATTCAAACGCAATTATATTATCATAACTGTGGTTACACTACTTATGCATCATATATTCGTAATATCTTATTCTCACATGGTTTTGGGGCGGTGGGGTAGCCTAATGGTTAAAGCGTTGGCTCGTCACGCCGAAGACCCGGGTTCGAATCCCCACATGGGTACAATGTGTGAAGCCCATGTGAAGCCGTGATGTTGCTGGAATATTGCTAAAAGCGGCGTAAAACCGAACTCAGTCAGTCTGTCACATGGTTTTGGTTATGCATGGATGTATCCTTTTTCGTTAATGCCTTTAAAAAATGTTGCTATTACTATGTTCTTCTAATCTTGGACTCATACTCTGAATAATAGCTCCTGAGTAATATTTAGATTGCATTATTGACAAACGACTTAGACACATATTTGTTAAGTTCAGATGTGGTTTATTAAGAATAAAATATAATGAAGGGAGATGGAAAATAGATAATTTCAACGTTTATGTCCATTGTAGTTCAGGTACTGAAGACGAGTAACATTATATGGCACTCTACGAATTACATACTTTCCATATGTAATCCGAACATGTACAAATAAATAATAAATAATGTAACAGTTTTAAAAAGCTTAAGTAAATTCTTATGGAATGCATATAAATTAAGAGAGAGAATATGTAAAACTTAAGATGATAGATATATATACAATACTGGTTCACCGTAATATGTATAATGTTTTGTAAACTACTGCAATATTGTTAGCACAACTCGTACAGCTTGTGAAATTCAACTCGGGATATTTAAGCATGCGTCTTTCAAAAGATGAAATAGGACCGCGATAACGCAGTGAACATTGTGAAGTGTAACTTGATCACGGGTGACAGTACGTTGGGCCAAACAGATTCGTTCATTGAAATAGTCAGTTAGAGCCTCGCCGCCACCTCCATATAATATGGTTCGAATTCTTTCAGATAGTGAGTGAGTATGGTATTCCGTCACGGTTAGCAATATTCCAGCAATATCACGATGGAGGACACCACAAATGGGCTTCACACATTGTACCCATGTGGGGAACAGAACATGGGTCTTCAGATGGTTTAACCATTAGGGTACCCCGCTGCCCCTCTTTCAAATGACTCTAGCACCTAATATAATCAAACCACTTTGTTTCGATACCAGTGCTAAAGAACATGTTTAGAACTCCAGCCTTCGCTTTGAGAACACTGTCGCCCGTGAGGGATGAAAGTGACATTTGCCCTGCTAATCACACTTTGATTGACATCAGAGACATTTGCACAGTGTCAAGCATGCCTATACATTTGCAACGTGTTGACCCAGTGTCAAGCATGCCTATACATTTGCAACGTGTTGACCCAGTGTCAAGCATGACTGTACATTTGCCCATTCGTCAATCGTTGTGACTGACGCTGAGGAAGGTGGGTCTAAATGCATTCTCAGTAGGAAACGTTGTAGTGCATGGATTTTGTCCCAATACATGCAGGTTTCTCTGCACCTAGCAAACACTATGCCAGTTGTTGCATGTCCAGTCTTGTGTATATTTTAAAACTTTATACTTTGGATGATTTTTATATGATCATCAGCAGCAAACTTTCAGAAACATAATACCAGAAACGAAAGCCAGCAATCAAAAGCCTCACCTGCAGCCCCTTGTGCCCCAGATGTTGTCCCAGGTCCGACTGCCTCTGAAACAAGAACAGTACAGCCAATTGCAAGTACAGCAAAGTACAGTATAGTACAGTATAGTACAGTTCAGTAGAGTGGATACAAGTAAACAGGATACCACTTACCTGTTGACGTGGTCCACGTCTCCGGTGTCACGCTGATGCTGACAGTCTTTGATGCTGACGATGTGGTAGGCGTAGAAACTACTGTGATTGTTGACTTGGGCGTCGTAGCGAGCTCGTTTGTGGTAGCTGATGTGGCACTGGTCGCAGGGGAGGAGGAAGAGGATTGAGTCGGTGGTTGCGTAGTGATCGGTGGTGAGGCCGTTGGGTAAGTAACGGTAGTAGAAGTCGCAGTAGGAGTTGTCGTTGTTGTAGGTGCAGCTTGAATGACATAAGTAAAGGCGTTCATGTTAGGCTTTTTAATATCTCCAATTAAAAGAAATGAATCTTTCAATACGTGGTTTTATATCAGTGCAACCCCGCTGCCGTGTATGTATCAAGACAAAAGGAGGCAACACCGACACTAACCAATCACATCACTCCTCCTGCAGGGGGATACTCTGTCTCCTCTTACCAGGTAGGAGTTATGCTGAAAACTTTGATTTCATAAAGTATTGACCCGTGCAATGGTCAAATGTTATGTTGGTATTTTAAGGACATCACATTTACATCACTTAAAATGAAATGCTGTAACTTCTTTTAAGATATATAAAGAGACGAAGTCATCCCAACTATGTAGATATACATCGTGTATGTTTCAAAACTTACATGTTTCTTTCTTTCAGTACATACGTGGTACTTACTGAACGACAACAGACCTTCACACGTGTAACCTCATTTGCCAAACATACGCATATAGAACAAATTGTTGCCTGTGGATAAATCTAGTTTATGGACGTAATGAGCGTACACGAAAAATAGATGAGGCACTTAGTTGAGGTTAGTGCGGTTGCTGTACTTAGAGGATGCATGTTCCAGTACTTAGAGGATGCATGTTCCAGTACTTACAGGATGAATGTTCCAGTACTTACAGGATGCATGTTCTTGTACTTACAGGATGCATGATCAAGTTCCTACAGGATGCATGTTCTAGTACTTACAGGATGCATGTTCCAGTACTTACAGGATGCATGTTCTAGTACTTACAGGATGCATGATCCAGTACTTACAGGATGCATGTTCTTCTTACAGGATGCATGTTCCAGTATTTACAGGATGCATGTTCTAGTAGTTACAGGATGCATGTTCCAGTATTAACAGGATGCATGATCCAGTACTTACAGGATGCATGTGCCAGTACTTACAGGATGCATGTTCCAGTACTTACAGGATGCAGGATCCAGTACTTACAGGATGCATGTTCCAGAATTTACAGGATGCATGTTCCAGTAGTTACAGGATGCATGTTCCAGTAGTTACAGGATGCATGTGCCAGTAGTTACAGGATGCATGTTCTAGTACTTACAGGATGCATGTTCCAGTACTTACAGGATGCATGTTCCACTACTTACAGGATGCATGTTCCAGTAGTTACAGGATGCATGTTCTTCTTACAGGATGCATGTTCCAGTATTTACAGGATGCATGTTCTAGTAGTTACAGGATGCATGTTCCAGTACTTACAGGATGCATGTTCTAGTACTTACAGGATGCATGTTCCAGTATTTACAGAATGCATGTTCTTCTTACAGAATACATGTGGCAGTAGTTACAGGATGCATGTTCTAGTACTTACAGGATGCATGTTCCAGTATTTACAGGATGCATGTTCTTCTTACAGGATGCATGTTCCAGTACTTACAGGATGCATGATCCAGTATTTACAGGATGCATGTTCCAGTATTTACAGAATGCATGTTCTTCTTACAGGATGCATGTTCCAGTACTTACCCGATGCATGTTCCAGTATTTAGAGGATGCATGTGCCAGTACTTACAGGATGCATGTTCTAGTACTTACAGGATGCATGTTCCAGTATTTACAGGATGCAAGTTCTTCTTACAGGATGCATGTGCCAGTAGTTACAGGATGCATGTTCCAGTACTTACAGGATGCATGTTCCAGTATTTACAGGATGCATGTTCGAGTAGTTACAGGATGCATGTTCTTCTTACAGGATGCATGTTCCAGTACTTACAGGATGCATGTTCCAGTACTTACAGGATGCATGATCCAGTACTTACAGGATGCAGGACCCAGTACTTAAATGATGGAGGCTCCAGTACTTAAAGGATGCAGGATCCAGTACTTACAGGATGCATGTTCCAGTACTTACAAGATGCATGTTCCAGTAGTTACAGGATGCATGTTCCAGTCCTTACAAAATGCATGTTCCAGTACTTACAGGATGCATGTTCCAGTAGTTATAGGATGCATGTTCCAGTACTTACAGGATGCATGTTCCAGTACTTACAGGATGCAGGTTCCAGTACTTACGTGTTGTATGATCAGGAGGAGGCAACTACAGTCTAACCTAGTGAGTAAAGCATTCGCTCGTTCGATTCCACACAGGGGTACATATGTGTGAAGCCCATTTCTGGTGTCACCTAAGTGATATTGGTAGATTATTGCTAAAAGCGGCGTAAAAATCTTACTCACCCATTCACTCACTGTATTTCAGTACTTACACGTTGAATGTTTCAGTACTTACACGTTGAATGTTTCAGTACTTACGCGTTGTGGTGTGGACGGCGTTCAGGCTACAAGCAACCGTCAACGCATTCGTTCCTGAAAATGTATGAAATAGACGCAGGATTTGCTCCAAATGATTCACAGTGAGGTAAACGGTTTCTCCGTGTGAAACAAGGTACACCGCCATAGATACTGACAGCATCAACTACAACAGTCTCTACACCGCCAGAGACACAGACAACATCAACTACAACAGTCTCTACACCGCCAGAGATACAGACAACATCAACTACAACAGTCTCTACACCGCCAGAGATACAGACAGCATCAACTTCAACAGTCTCTACACCGCCAGAGATACAGACAGCATCAACTACAACAGTCTCTTCACCGACAGAGATACAGACAGCATCAACTACAACAGTCTCTACACCGCCAGAGATACAGACAGCATCAACTACAACAGTCTCTTCACCGCCAGAGATACAGACAGCATCAACTACAACAGTCTCTACACCGCCAGAGATACAGACAGCATCAACTACAACAGTCTCTACACCGCCAGAGATACAGACAGCATCAACTACAACAGTCTCTACACCGCCAGAGATACAGACAGCATCAGCTACAACAGTCTCTACACCACCAGAGATACAGACAGCATCAACTACAACAGTCTCTACACCGCCAGAGATACAGACAGCATCAACTACAACAGTCTCTACACCGCCAGAGATACAGACAGCATCAACTACAACAGTCTCTACACCGCCAGAGATACAGACAGCATCAACTACAACAGTCTCTACACCGCCAGAGATACAGACAGCATCAACTACAACAGTCTCTACACCAACATCAACTACAACAGTCTCTACACCGCCAGAGATACAGACAGCATCAACTACAACAGTCTCTACACCGCCAGAGATACAGACAGCATCAACTACAACAGTCTCTACACCGCCAGAGATACAGACAGCATCAACTACAACAGTCTCTACACCGCCAGAGATACAGACAGCATCAACTACAACAGTCTCTACACCGCCAGAGATACAGACAGCATCAACTACAACAGTCTCTACACCGCCAGAGATACAGACAGCATCAACTACAACAGTCTCTACACCGCCAGAGATACAGACAGCATCAACTATCAACAGTCTCTACACCGCCAGAGATACAGACAGCATCAACTACAACAGTCTCTACACCGCCAGAGATACAGACAGCATCTACAACAGTCTCTACACCGCCAGAGATACAGCAGACTACAACAGTCTCTACCACATCAACTACAACAGTCTCTACACCGCCAGAGATACAGACAGCATCAACTACAACAGTCTCTACACCGCCAGAGATACAGAGTCTCTACACCGCCAGAGATACAGACAGCATCAACTACAACAGTCTCTACACCGCCAGAGATACAGACAGCATCAACTACAACAGTCTCTACACCGCCAGAGATACAGACAGCATCAACTACAACAGTCTCTACACCGCCAGAGATACAGACAACATCAACTACAACAGTCTCTACACCGCCAGAGATACAGACAGCATCAACTACAACAGTCTCTACACCGCCAGAGATACAGACAGCATCAACTACAACAGTCTCTACACCGCCAGAGATACAGACAGCATCAACTACAACAGTCTCTACACCGCCAGAGATACAGACAGCATCAACTACAACAGTCTCTACACCGCCAGAGATACAGACAGCATCAACTACAACAGTCTCTACACCGCCAGAGATACAGACAACATCAACTACAAGAGTCTCTACACCGCCAGACCGATATAGACAGCATCAACTACAACAGTCTCTACACCGCCAGAGATACAGACAGCATCAACTACAACAGTCTCTACACCGCCAGAGATACAGACAGCATCAACTACAACAGTCTCTACACCGCCAGAGATACAGACAGCATCAACTACAACAGTCTCTACACCGCCAGAGATACAGACAGCATCAACTACAACAGTCTCTACACCGCCAGAGATACAGACAGCATCAACTACAACAGTCTCTACACCGCCAGAGATACAGACAGCATCAACTACAACAGTCTCTACACCGCCAGAGATACAGACAGCATCAACTACAACAGTCTCTACACCGCCAGAGATACAGACTACACCGCCACATCAACTACAACAGTCTCTACACCGCCAGAGATACAGACAGCATCAACTACAACAGTCTCTCTCACCGCCAGAGATACAGACAGCATCAACTACAACAGTCTCTACACCGCCAGAGATACAGACAGCATCAACTACAACAGTCTCTACACCGCCAGAGATACAGACAGCATCAACTACAACAGTCTCTACACCGCCAGAGATACAGACAACATCAACTACAACAGTCTCTACACCGCCAGAGATACAGACAGCATCAACTACAACAGTCTCTACACCGCCAGAGATACAGACAGCATCAACTACAACAGTCTCTACACCGCCAGAGATACAGACAGCATCAACTACAACAGTCTCTACACCGCCAGAGATACAGACAGCATCAACTACAACAGTCTCTACACCGCCAGAGATACAGACAGCATCAACTACAACAGTCTCTACACCGCCAGAGATACAGACAGCATCAACTACAACAGTCTCTACACCGCCAGAGATACAGACAGAGATACAGACAGCATCAACTACAACAGTCTCTACACCGCCAGAGATACAGACAGCATCAACTACAACAGTCTCTACACCGCCAGAGATACAGACAGCATCAACTACAACAGTCTCTACACCGCCAGAGATACAGACAGCATCAACTACAACAGTCTCTACACCGCCAGAGATACAGACAACATCAACTACAACAGTCTCTACACCGCCAGAGATACAGACAACATCAACTACAACAGTCTCTTATTGCAAAAAAAAAAGTTGTCTATCCATATAAAGTGTTACTCAATTACCCATACTTTACTGCGAGCACATTTACATTTCACACAAAAGAATTTCGTAATGCATATCTTCGACCATGGCAGTTGTTTACACAGAGAACGTAATTTAGACTACCCGTTGTAAGACTTCCATTTGTCATTGCAGGAGTTGTATATCAGATCACAGATATCGTGAGCTGGCGATTTTGGTGCATGACTCTGAGAGTGTCGGGTTGAATCACGGATTGGACTCAAACAAAAACACACACACACACACACACACACACACACACACACACACACACACACACACACACACACACACACACACACACACACACACACACACACACACACACACACACACACACACACACACACACACACACACACACACACACACACACACACACACACACACACACACACACCTCTTTAAAAGTCCCATATTTAACATATGTTTCCTCTGACCAGTTTCGTAAGGGCGGTTGTGTAGTTGGAAGATAGTTGGTGAGTATTCTCAAGTCAGTGGATAGCTGTAAGGATTTGATATCTTCATTCTTAAGATGGTTGCATAGGTCTGATATCCTCTGGCATAAGATGGTTGTATAGGTTTGATATCCTCTGGCATAAGATGCTTGTATAGGTCTGATATCTTCTGTCATAAGATGGTTGTATAGGTTTAATATCTTTGGTCATAAGATGGTTGTATAGGTTTGATATCTGTATTCATAGGATGGTTGTATAGGTTTAATATCTTCTGTCATAAGATAGTTGTATAGGTTTGATATCTGTATTCATAGGATGGTTGTATAGATTTGATATCTCCTGTCATAGGATGGTTGTATAGATTTGATATCTGTATTCATAGGATGGTTGTATAGGTTTGATATCTTCTGGCATAAGATGGTTGTATAGGTTTGAGATCGTCTGTCATAAGATGGTTGTATAGGTTTGATATCTTCTGTCATAGGATGGTTATATAGGTTTGATATCTTCTGTCATAAGATGGTTATGTAGGTTTGATATCTTCTGTCATAAGATGGTTATATAGGTTTGATATCTTCTGGCATAAGATGGTTGTATAGGTTTATTATCTTTGGTCATAAGATTGTTGTATTAGTTTAATATCTTCTGTCATAAGATGGTTGTATAGGTTTGATATCTTCTGTCATAAAATGGTTGTATAGGTTTGATATCTTCTGTCATAAGATGGTTGTATAGGTTTGATATCTTCTGTCATAAGATGGTTGTATAGGTTTGATATCTTCTGTCATAAAATGGTTGTATAGGTTTGATATATTCTGTCATAAGATTGTTGTATTAGTTTAATATCTTCTGTCATAAGATGGTTGTATAGGTTTGATATCTTCTGTCATAAAATGGTTGTATAGGTTTGATATCTTCTGTCATAAGATGGTTGTATAGGTTTGATATCTTCTGTCATAAGATGGTTGTATAGGTTTGATATCTTCGGTCACAGGATGGTTTGTAGGTTTGATCTCTTCTGTCATAAGATGGTTGTATAGGTCTGATACCATAAGATACCCTACAACTATAATGTGGTATTTTCAACTATGTTTACTCAATACATATATAGCATACATATTCAGTTTACCTTTGAATCTTATCCAGACAAATTCTGCCAGATTAGTCAGCGTCAAGAAGAAGTAGTAATCTGACGTCTGCGCGAGTGTCAGTGACGGCCATGGTGACAATGAGTTGCAGGTCTGCTGTGTGAATGTGGAACTGCTGTTGTAGATGCCCAGGACTCCACATTGGCCGGCTGGTCCAGTCATGCGAACGTCTATGCCTTCAATGGTGACTCGGTTCCTGTTGGGCTGGGACACGGTACAGTAACAGACATCAGTAGCCACCATGTACTGCTGTGTCGGGTCGTACAGGACGGAGACTGACGTACCAACGGTGTATGTCGCAGCGCCACACATCGGGATGGTGGAAGACTCTGTCAGTAACAGATACATGTATACTGCGGCCGTGAGATACATGAGTCGTAAAACAAATGCCCCAAGACAATTAGAAGAACATGCTAACTCTGACAGAGAGCTGCTGAAAAACGTCATTTCTGAGCTTTCCCGCATCATTTAGTTATAAATAGGAGGTTTATGCCCAGCGATACAAACACTGAAATTACAAAAGATGGTATTTAGGGTGGGGGCGCATTTGTTGGGCGTACACTCATCTTAAAGACATTAAACATTACTGACTCCTACCTTCCACACATTCATACTCTACTACTGAATAACTGGAGACCGCCTGAAACCCAGAGCACGGTTCAACCAGGCGCGGTGTACGGAAATCACAGAAGTGGGAAGAACAGTTGCGATAGATATCGCTGATGTCGTCAGCGATGAAGGTGTGGAAGCAGTCGCTGTTGCGGAGGTAGGAGCAGCAGGTGTCGCTGCAGCTGATGACCCCGGTGGTGCAGTTGACCCATGTCTTGTGGCCGTAGACGGCCTTCTTTATCGCTACCCGGGCCGTGTCGGAGCACGTCAAGTTATGGTTCAGACATGAGCCCGCAGACCCAAAGCATCCAAGAGATACGTTGTCCACCGCAAGAGCTGTAAGGGAACATGAGTGTTGACAGTGAATGAGAAGAAGCCAGAATTACTTTACGTATTGAACCAAGAACTAAACTGACTCCGTATTGATCTGTGTTGTCAATATTGCAGCAGATATCGAACAAAACTAAAATAGAAGTCAACATTACAGCATCACTCATCAAAGACAAATTGCAAAATCAATCTAAAGACAACTGAAGATTGCACAATGTACAGGATGATCAATCTCATCTGAAACAAGGTGGGAGAACTGAGGTGGGAGTCAATATAACAGGATGCTGTCATCCCCATCTGTAAACAACAATTGAGGTGGGAGTCAATATAACTGGATGCTGTCATCCCCATCTGAAACAACAATTGAGGTGGGAGTCAATATAACTGGATGCTGTCATCCCCATCTGAAACAACAATTGAGGTGGGAGTCAATATAACAGGATGCAGTCATCCCCATCTGAAACAACAATTGAGGTGGGAGTCAATATAACAGGATGCTGTCATCCCCATCTGAAACAACAATTGAGGTGGGAGTCAATATAACAGGATGCTGTGATCCCCATCTGAAACAACAATTGAGGTGGGAGTCAATATAACAGGATGCAGTCATCCCCATCTGAAACAACAATTGAGGTGGGAGTCAATATAACAGGATGCTGTGATCCCCATCTGAAACAACAATTGAGGTGGGAGTCAATATAACAGGATGCTGTGATCCCCATCTGAAACAACAATTGAGGTGGGAGTCAATATAACAGGATGCTGTGATCCCCATCTGAAACAACAATTGAGGTGGGAGTCAATATAACAGGATGCAGTGATCCCCATCTGAAACAACAATTGAGGTGGGAGTCAATATAACAGGATCATCCTCATCTGAAACAACAATTGAGGTGGTCGAAAGTCAATATATCAGAATGCAGATCCCATCTGAAACAACAATTGAGGTGGGAGTCATCTGAAACAACAATTGAGGTGGGAGTCAATATAACAGGATGCAGTCATCCTCATCTGAAACAACAATTCAGGCAGGAGTCAATATAACAGGAGGTCGAGGTGGGGAGTCAATATAACAGGATGCAGTGAAACAACATCCTCATCTGAACGGCGGGGGAACCAATTGAGGTGGTGAGTCCAACGCTATAACCAGGATGCTACCCCACCGCCCTCATCTGAAACAACAGTTGAGATGGGAGTCAATATAACAGGATGCTGTCATCCCCATCTGAAACAACAATTGAGGTGGGAGTCAACAACGGTACAAGAATCTGTATCGAAACGTCGCACTCACGAATAAAAAGAAGTTGTTATCCATAAAGTTTGTTCTATATTGTACTTCCCAACTTTGAGAAATGATCACCATCTACATCAACAGTCAATATAACAGGATGCTGGGATCACCATCTACATCAACTGAAGTCAATATAACAGGAGGCCACTCAAGGAAGAGTAACAGGAGGCTGTGATCAATATAACAGGAGGCTGTGATCACCATCTACAGCAACTACAGTCAACTGAGCTGGGAGTCAATATAACAGGTCATCCCCATCTAGTCAATCAACTGAGGTGAAGTTGAGTCAATATAACAGGAGGCTGTGTGATCACCATCTACAGCAACTGCAGGTGAGGGGAGTCAATATAACAGGATGCTGGGATCACCATCTACATCAACTGAGGCTGGTCACCATCTACAGCAACTGAGGTGAGAGTCAATATAACAGGAGGCTGTGATCACCATCTACATCAACTGAGGTGGGAGTCAATATAACAGGATGCTGGGATCACCATCTACAGCAACTGAGGTGGGAGTCAATATAACAGGAGGCTGGGATCACCATCTACATCAACTGAGGTGGGAGTCAATATAACAGGATAATTGAGGTGGGGCTGGGATCACCATCTACACGGCAACTGCTTAACACATTTGTGCCCATGTGGGGAATCGAACCCGAGTCTTCGGCGTGACGAGCCAACGCTTTAACCACTAGGCTACCCCACCGCCCTCATCTGAAACAACTGAGGTGGAGTCAATATAACAGGATGCTGGGATCACCATCTACATCAACTGAGGTGAGAGTCAATATAACAGGAGGCTGTGATCACCATCTACATCAACTGAGGTGGGAGTCAATATAACAGGATGCGGTGATCACCTTCTGAAACATCAACTGAGGTGGGAGTCAATATAACAGGATGCTGGGATCACCATCGACAGCAACTTAGGGACGCAGGATGATCAATCTACAGCAACTGATTGGTTACAGGTCTATAACACATCAGAACTGAGGTGAGAATGTATGGATTGGTTTCTGTGGGATCACCATCTACATCAACTGAGGTGAGAGTCAATATAACAGGAGGCTGTGATCACCATCTACATCAACTGAGGTGGTAAGTCAATATAACAGGATGCGGTGATCACCTTCTGAAACATCAACTGAGGTGGGAGTCAATATAACAGGATGCTGTGGTCACCATCGACAGCAACTTAGGGACGCAATGATAAAGTACTGATTGGTTACTGTCTGTAACACATCAGAAGGCAGTGAGAATGTATGGATTGGTTTCTGTTTAAAACCAAAACTATGGTGGAAGGTAATAATTAAGTACGGATTGGTTACTGTCTGTAACACATCAGAAGGCAATGAGAATGTATGGATTGGTTTCTGTTTAAAACCAAAACTAAGGTGGAAGGTAATAATTAAGTACGGATTGGTTACTGTCTGGAACTCATATGGAACAAAAAATATGGCTTTCCACGATTTCATCTGTCTGACCCTTTGCGCGATATGATATAATCAGGCAGTTTGGGTTAACATATGTGTTCGTGATTACAGTAGAACGTGCCTGTATCCCAACCGGAAGTATGTAGACACTAAACGCCCAAAATACGTTATCCTCCTACCTTTATGAATTACTTCAAAACTTAAAGCTTAGATGCAACAACAACAAAAAAAGAAACATAATTAAAACACAATTATCATTTATTCATGACATATAATATACATTGTTCATTATGTAAAAGCAAATAAACAAATTATAAGCGTACAATCGCAAATCAAAAGTGCAATATTTTGAACTTGGGTTTACTTCCCTCGAAACGAAGCATCCGGGATACCGAACCCAATCAGAACGGGTGGGCGTGCACTTAATTCCAACAAAGGCTGGTTCCTTTGTCGATATACTCAGGGCTCGTGTGTGTATAGAGATGTTGGGTTTTGTAAATATATTTTCATTTTTTGTGTATAACATTTTGCAATCAACAGACACCATAACATGTCATGTGTACAAGTATCACACCTGCCTGTCTGTGTGATTACATAATCTGACAGAGACAGAACTCGGGTGCACGAGCCATAAATCAATGCGTTTTGTTTATGATGTATAGCATGATAGGTATTGAGTTCAAATTGCATGTGGTCAGTGATCGAAGTCGTGTATTGCTCATTGTCATTTGCAGACATGCAGGCAGACACATAGGTGTCAATAAAACAGACATTGAGTTTTGTCTGTGACAGAGGCACATCTATATCACAGTTAGACACTCTGACAATGCTAAATAATGACGTTGCTTTTAAGTATCGAACTGACAAAGTGACTCGCTAAGAAGAACGTGTGGTGAAATAGTCAAATGAAATTATATAAACAGTTAAATCGGTAATATACTGCCATAAGATATATAAAGCTCGCGCCTATGAAATATCAACAAAAGACACAACATTAGAAAAATAGTTCACATCAAAGCCTACTCCGAGTACACATTGCCAGCGAAGGTTTTCCGTCTTAAAATGTCGAACGCCTCACTGGTTGACACATAGATCTAGATCCTTAACAAGGTTCGTTTATGTAACAAGTAGATTATTTACTATTTGTGTACACAACCAAGATTAGACCACTCCTGCTCACGACCTTATAATTTTCGCATCCCGCTTCGAACCTGTTCACTGTGCATTCGCTATGAGCCCAGCGCACCACAGTTGTTGAAACCACTTTTCACCCCAGCTGGGGTGAATTTACTGAATCGTTTGAACTCCGATTTCGTGGGGTTCATCGAGTTATTTTTCAACTTTTTGAATTTGCATTTTTGATAATTTGTCACTATAAGTCGATATCAGAATCTGCAATGTTTTGCGTTGCATGCGACCTTTAACAAAGACAATTGTAGGAAAACGAACCAACCAATGAAAGACTTCGTTACACTTAAATGCACGCCAACCCGCTCTGACTGGTTTACTCCCATAACGCAGACCTCCCAAAACGCAGACCTTCTAAAATGCGGATAAAAAGAACACATTAATTAATTGGGCCATGCTTGTCACCCCTAATTAATAAATGGCCTGGTCCACACTTTGATAAATATGGAGAACAACGAGGGACTAAGTGAACATCCTTGTCTAACACCAGTGGAACAATCAAAATATTTTTTTCCATGGATACCATTTCTTAAAGACGATAAAGTAATTTATTTCGGTTAACCATACCGAACGCTTTCTTGAAATCCACGAAAGCACGGTAGAATCTGCCTTTTCTTCAAGTTATATGCTTTTGAACAATAGATAGAAGAATAACTTACACAAAGTGTTCAATAACAATATGCCCCTACAGTTACTAGGTTCATTATTAATTCCCTTTCTGTATATAGATATTATAACAGCAGTAGTCCATGCAGATGGGAAATGACCTTTACATAATATTTGTAAAAACAAATAAGGCAAGGTAGGGTGCAATCATATCATTAATTTTCTTTCAAACTTCTGTTCGAATACCGTCGTCCCCTGGTGACTTATTCAGTTTAGCATCGTCTGTTGCAGATATAACCTCTGCTATTGTTATATCATAAGACAGTTCATCATTTACACAATCAGTATAATGTTCATAACTATGTTCAGGAGTATAGTTTCCAATATAAGCATCCCACTCCTGGTCACAGTCATCACGTGATACAGGATTAATAAATCTTTAAACTATGTATGCCATGTTTCTGGTACAATATTATTCTTATCAGATCGCCTAGATAAATATTTGTTTTACAACCTTTACATATTATTCATTAAAGAAATATTGACGAAATAAGGGATCACTTGCTACATTGTCAAAACTCGTTACGTGGGTGATATCATTTTTCTTAATCAAGAGTACAGCCTACGAATCACGGATGCAGCCAACCATAACAAGTGTTGTTTTAACGGGTCTGCGTTTTGGGAGGATACCCTCAAACTGGGTTCCGTATGCCGGGTGCTTCGTTTCGAGGGAAGTAAACCCATTTAACAAAATATTGCACTTTTGATTTGCGATGGTACGCTAATAATTTTGTTTATTTGTTTTTTCATAATCAGCAATGTATATAGTATGACCAGATATTATTGAGAATTTTAGGAATATGTTTAATTGGATTTCTAGTATAAACAACCTTGACCAGCTATCAAGTGCTCGGTTTCATTCGTTAATCCTTTTTCATTAGTTTGTGAAGAGTTATCCCCCTTTGTTTACTTGCTAGCAGACGACATTTTCAGTGATCCTCAGTATGGATGATTTAGAGAAAAGGAAGTTGATTTTAGAGTATTATAACAAGGACATCAGCTAAAGTGGAATCTGGAGTTATGTTCTGCTAATATTCACATTTAATACGTGAGTAATGAATGAAAAAAAATAAATAAATACAATCTTAAAGTCTCAATAATGTCTGGTTGTACTCATGAATACATGATAAATGTGTTTTAATTATGTTTCTATTTTTTGGTTGCATTTAAACTTAACTTTTGTGCTTGCAAGTAACATTTTTCCATTTCTTGTTTTCACATTGCAATATCATTCGCCAAAACATAGCACTATCCAAGCGGTATTTGCATCAATTTCACGTGTAGAATGGTTCTATAGGGTATAAAGAGAGACTAGAATGCATGATATGATACACAAATACGAGAAATATGCCACGATTAACAGCTGAAGAGAGAGAAAGAGCCATTGGGATGTTGCAGATGGGGTCGACGTACAATGTTGTTGCCAACTCCCTCGGATGTCACCATATCACGGTTATAAGACTTATTCAGCGCTACAGACAGACAGGGGTCACCGAAGACAGACCAAGAGTGGGTGTCCACGTATCAAAATACAGCTGAAAATTTGGTCTACTCCCATCTGTGAGAACTCAAAATTGTGAGTCTCCCAGTTATGAGACAGTGGAGTAGGTAATTAACAAAGAAAACACACCATACTCCCCTGTCTGATAGAATGGTAGACTAACAACTAGTCTCTGAAATGAACATATTTTACTGAAAAAAGTTCATAGTAAAAAAATATAAAATATAATGAAAAGGAGCCTTGAGACCTTCTTCATTTGCAGCCTGAAGCTGAGGAAATCTAGACTTGCCACATTTTCTAGACTTTCTTGGATATATTTGCTTCAGGGTCTGTACGAGAGACTAATAGAATGGATTCACCCTAGCTAATTACTGATTTGCTATGTAACTGAATCTTGTGGAAATCTAAAGAAACTTTATAAGATAAATTGATTAACATATACCCAGGTAAATGTCTTTAATAATGAATCACTTTGAATAACTTTGTGTAGGTAACTTTTGAAAGAGAAATTAATTTACCTACTCAGATTTACATCCGTCTCCGAAACTACAAGATATAGTTTAAGAATAACTCTAAAATACAAGTTTACAGTCGAACGGCCTCTTATGCCATACCCTTTTTACCTGACACTACCGGTTATAACCTGGATACCATTTTGAACGGAAACAAAGAATTTACTCCTTGTGTAAACCAGAAAATAGTTGAATCCGTCCACGATTATATCATCAAGACACAACCTTCAAATTTTCTCAGGAAAATACTGAAATTAACTCAACAACCTTCCCATGATTGATTTATATTCCTACAATAGCTTGTTAGACACACACAACTGTAACTCTCTAATTATGACTACTTAGAGAATAGTTGTATTTAATGTAATCTGTATATATTTATATGTACTTAAACATATATTTATGCAATAGTCAATATCGATGACGTCACATCCTCGATTTCATGTTGTATTATATGTTGCATGGGAGCGGTGTTAACATAAGCAGTAATGCTTGTTCACCAATCCCAATTCATTTTCATAAATAATAATAAACTATGTTTAAACCAAAATGACTTTCAAATTTCATAATAGTCAATAAAAATGTGTTATCATAATTACATATTCTTCTGAATAAATAAAATATTTAATGAACTATTTCTTCTGTGTAAATAGAATCTGATAATCTATTTTATTAATCTACTCATCAATGACTCCTGTGGGTACTCTTCAACAACTGGGCTGATCCCCACTTTCATTGTAGGGATGCGGAAACACCACTTATGTGCACTGAACCATTAATTAATGTGTCTCACAACTGGGAGTTCTCATAACTGGGAGAACACCGAAAATTTAATCCTCACTTGGGTAGATTTTAATAAATTCATGTGTGCGTGTGTGTGCGAGCGTGCGCGCGCGCTTATGTGTTACTCAGTCTGACACCTGAGATGTGCAACGTCCTTGGTAAGCATCGCCTCTCGAGAGACATCAATATGGGTGTGAGATGGAAATATAATACGATGTTAGCATTGCTTATTTACGGTTTGAAAACACAAATCGTGACAATACTAGATAGTCTTGTTTGATATGGCTCCAAACATGGAGAACGCAATGACGTCACACCAGATGTCATACCTGTACGCAGGTATACTGTGGGAAAAACAATTCTATGTGTGTGATGTACGTGACGACTGTAACCAGCCTGGCGTAATGTACACGGGTTGTAACTGCGCTGTAACTGCTGGAGCCCATCTGTCATGTGGAAGACAACAGGCCAGACAAGTCAGTGGGAGGAATGTGACATTCGATCACACCCAGGTGACACTGTTGCTCGTGTGGCAGACAGTACAGATGACGTTAACGTGTGCCTTATACTCGAACATCATCTGAGATACATTAAAACCTCGGATGGGTAGGCTCATCTCTGTGTTAGGTCTCGCCATTGTTGGGTACGGCGACCTAACCGACGTATATCATATAACCTCCCAGTACCACACAACAGGATATGTAGTGTCCTACATACATACGCCATACTGTTCGTTGAACAGGAAGCTCAATGACTTCATTAATATGCTATGACCAATAAATCCGCCTGTCCCGGCGTTGACATATGTAAGCACGGGGACATGGAGTTGTGTTATCAAGGGTTCCTTCTGCTAACTCGGGGTTGCCACATACCTGCTTGTGTTAATTAACCAGGGATTTCCATTAAACACCACGCACATACCTGCTTGTATTAATTAACCAGGGATTTCCATTAAACACCACACACATACCTGCTTGTGTTAATTAACCAGGGATTTCCATTAAACACAACAAACATACCTGTTTGTGTTAATTAACCAGGGATTTCCATTAAACACCACGCACATACCTGCTTGTGTTAATTAACCAGGGATTTCCATTAACCACCACACACATACCTGCTTGCGCTAACCAGGGATTAATACCACACATGTACGTGTCAAACCATCACCCATACGTACACATTATGATACGCGGAGATGTTCGAGGGAATGTACACCTGGTCTGTGGTGGTCAGCTTCAACTTCATTTCAACTTACCTGTGTGGATCACAATTCCGCAAGTGAACAACGTCAAACACAACACACCTTGGCCCGCCATTGTGATGGTGATTCTTACTTAACCACCCGCCTGAGGTCCGGATGTCCTCCACAGGGTGTGTCCTCTCCTACCCACTCGCAGACTTGAGATAAGGAAGTGCTGCACACAAAGCTTATATCACAAGGGGAACGAACACAACGAACAAGGAGAGCCACGGAGAGCGGTCATGCGATACGGCATTTTTTGTGATAATCAGTACAGGTGCGCGGCTGCTCGGGATCCATGTCAGGAGACCAGAAATGACAAGATGAATGCAGATTAACTTTTAAAATGACTTGACTTGACTTGACTTGAGTGACAATACTTTGTTCAGTCATTGCCATTCTCCACGCATTCCTTCACACATGCTGTTTGTTGCTGCGTGTTACTTTTATTCTCAAGTAGATGCTATCTCTTCAAGCAGTAGCGACATGTCACACTGAACTTACCTAGGGTCTATCTCTCCTGCTGGGAACATATCACACTGAACTAAACAAGGGTCTGCTTCTCCCGGTGGGAACATATCACACTGAACTAAACTAGGGTCTATCTCTCCTGCTGGGGACATATCACACTGAACTAAACAAGGGTCTGTGTCTCCTGGTGGGAACATATCACACTGAACTAAACTAGGGTCTATCTGTCCTGCTGGGGACATATCACACTGAACTAAACAAGGGTCTGTGTCTCCTGGTGGGAACATATCACACTGAACTAAACTGTTGTCTATATCTCTTGGTGGGGACATATCACACTGAACTAAACAAGAATCTGCTTCTCCTGGTGAGAACATATCACATTGAACTAAATTAGGGTCTATCTCTCCTGCTGGGGACATATCTCACTGAACTAAACAAGGGCCTGTGTCTCCTGGTGGGAACATGTCACACTGAACTAAACTAGGGTCTATCTGTCCTGCTGGGGACATATCACACTCAACTAAACAAGGGTCTGTGTCTCCTGGTGGGAACATATCACACTGAACTAAACTGTTGTCTATATCTCTTGGTGAGGACATATCACACTGAACTAAACTAGGGTCTATCTCTCCTGGTGAGGACATATCACACTGCACTAAACTTGGGCCTGTGTCTCCTGGTGGGGACATATCACACTCAACTAAACTAGGGTCAGTGTCTACTGGTGGGGACATATCACACTCAACTAAACTAGGGTCAGTGTCTACTGGTGGGGAAATATCACACAGTACAAAACTAGGGTCTGTGTCTCCTGGTGGGAATATATCACAATGAGGAAAAGTAGGGTCTATCTCTCCTTGTGGGACATATCACACTGAAATAAACTAGGGTCTGTGTCTCCTGGTGGGGACATATCACACTGAACTAAACTAGGGTCAGTGTCTACTGGTGGGGACATATCACACTGAACTAAACTAGGGTCTGTGTCTCCTGGTGGGGACATATCACACTCAACTAAACTAGGGTCAGTGTCTACTGGTGGGGACATATCACACTGAGGCCAAGTAAGGTCTATCNAGGGTCAGTCTCCTGGTGGGGACATATCACACTGAACCAAAATAGGGTATGTGTCTCCTGGTGGGGACATATCACACTGAGCTAAACTAGGGTCTATCTCTCCTGGTGGGGACATATCACACTGAAGCTAAACTAGGGTCTATCTCTCCTGGTGGGGACATATCACACTGAACTAAACTAGGGTAGTCTCTCCTCGGTGGGGACATATCACACTGAACTAAACTAGTGTCTCCTGGTGGGGACATATCACACTGAACTAAACTAGGGTCTGTGTCTCCTGGTGGGGACATATCATCACTAAACCAGGGTCTATCTCTCATATGGTGGGGACATATCACACTGAACTAAACTAGGGTCTGTGTCTCCTGGTGGGGACATATCACACTGAGGCCAAGTAAGGTCTATCTCTCCTGGTGGGGACATATCACACTGAACTAAACTAGGGTCTGTGTCTCCTGGTGGGGACATATCACACTGAGGCCAAGTAAGGTCTATCTCTCCTGGTGGGGACATATCACACTGAACTAAACTAGGGTCTGTGGCTCCTGGTGGGGACATATCACACTGAACTAAACTAGGGGCAATCTCTTCTGCTGGGGACATATCACACTGAGCTAAACTAGGGTCTATCTCTCCTCGCGAGGACATATCACACTGAACTAAACTAGGGTATATCTCTCCTCGTGGGGACATATCACACCGAGGTAAAGGGTCTATCTCTCCTGGTGGGGACATATCACACTCAACTAAACTAGGGTCTGTGTCTCAAGGTGAGGACATATCACACTGAACTAAACTTGGGTCAGTGTCTACTGGTGGGGAATATCACACTCAACTAAACTAGGGTCTGTGTCTCCTGGTGAGGACATATCACACTGAACTAAACTAGGGTATGTGTCTCCTGGTGAGGACATATCACACTGAACTAAACTAGGGTCTATCTCTCCTGGTGGGGACACATCACACTCAACTAAACTAGGGTATGTGTCTCATGGTGAGGACATATCACACTGAACTAAACTAGGGTCTATCTCTCCTGGTGGGGACATATCACACTCAACCAAAATAGGGTATGTGTCTCATGGTGAGGACATATCACACTGAGCTAAACTAGGGTCTATCTCTCCTGGTGGGGACATATCACAATGAGCTAAACTAGGGTCTATCTCTCCTGGTGGGGACATATCACATTGAACTAAACAAGGGTATATCTCTCCTCGCGGGGACATATGACACTGACTTAAACTAGGGTCTATCTCTCCTGGAGGGGACATATCACACTGAGGCCAACTAGGGTCTGTGTCTCCTGGTGGGGACATATCACACTGAACTAAACTAGGGTCTATCTCTCCAGGTGGGGACATATCACACTGAACTAAACTAGGGCCTGTGTCTCCTGGTGGGGACATATCACATTGAACTGAACTAGGGTCTATCTCTCCTGGTGGGGACATATCACACTCAACTAAACTAGGGTCTATCTCTCCTGGTGGGGACATATCACATAAAACTGAACTGGGGTCTGTGTCTCATGGTGAGGACATATCACACTGAACTAAACTAGGGTCTGTGGCTCCTGGTAGGGACATATCACACTGAACTAAACTAGGGCCTGTGTCTGCTGGTGGGGACATATCACATTGAACTGAACTAGGGTCTGTGTCTCATGGTGGGGACATATCACATTGAACTAAACTAGGGTCTATCTCTCCTGGTGGGGACATATCACACTGAACTAAACTAGGGTCTATCTCTCCTGGTGGGGACATATCACATAAAACTAAACTAGGGTCTATCTCTCCTGGTGGGGACATATCACACTCAACTAAACTAGGGTCTATCTCTCCTGGTGGGGACATATCACACTGAACTAAACTTGGGCCTGTGTCTCCTGGTGGGGACATATCAAACTCAACTAAACTAGGGTCTGTATCTCAAGGTGGGGACATATCACACTGAACTAAACTAGGGTCTATCTCTCCTGGTGGGGACATATGACACTGAACTAAACTTGGGTCAGTGTCTCCTGGTGGGGACATATCACACTGAACTAAACTAGGGTCAGTGTCTCCAGTGTCTCCTGGTGGGGAACTAAACTAGGGGTCAGTGTCTCCTGGGGGACATATCACACTGAACTAAACTAGGGTCAGTGTCTCCTGGTGGGGACATATCACACTGAACTGGTGGGGAAACTAGGGTCAGTGTCTCCTGGTGGGGACATATCACACTGAACTAAACTAGGGTCAGTGTCTCCTGGTGGGGACATATCACACTGAACTAAACTAGGGTCAGTGTCTCCTGGTGGGGACATATCACACTGAACTAAACTAGGGTCAGTGTCTCCTGGTGGGGACATATCACACTGAACTAAACTAGGGTCAGTGTCTCCTGGTGGGGACATATCACACTGAACTAAACTAGGGTCAGTGTCTCCTGGTGGGGACATATCACACTGAGGCCAAGTAAGGTCTATCTCTCCTGGTGGGGACATATCACACTCAACTAAACTAGGGTCTGTATCTCCTGGTGAGGACATATCACACTAAACTAAACTAGGGTCAGTGTCTCCTGGTGGGGACATATCACACTGAACTAAACTAGGGTCAGTGTCTCCTGGTGGGGACATATCACACTGAACTAAACTAGGGTCAGTGTCTCCTGGTGGGGACATATCACACTGAGGCCAAGTAAGGTCTATCTCTCCTGGTGGGGACATATCACACTCAACTAAACTAGGGTCTGTATCTCCTGGTGAGGACATATCACACTAAACTAAACTAGGGTCAGTGTCTCCTGGTGGGGACATATCACACTGAACTAAACTAGGGTCAGTGTCTCCTGGTGGGGACATATCACACTGAGGCCAAGTAAGGTCTATCTCTCCTGGTGGGGACATATCACACTGAACTAAACTAGGGTCTGTGTCTCCTGGTGGGGACATATCACACTGAGGCCAAGTAAGGTCTATCTCTCCTGGTGGGGACATATCACACTAAACTAAACTAGGGTCTGTGGCTCCTGGTGGGGACATATCACACTGAACTAAACTAGGGGCAATCTCTTCTGCTGGGGACATATCACACTGAGCTAAACTAGGGTCTATCTCTCCTCGCGGGACATATCACACTGAACTAAACTAGGGTATATCTCTCCTCGCGGGGACATATCACACCGAGGTAAAGTAGGGTCTATCTCTCCTGGTGGGGACATATCACACTCAACTAAACTAGGGTCTGTGTCTCAAGGTGAGGACATATCACACTGAACTAAACTTGGGTCAGTGTCTACTGGTGGGGAATATCACACTCAACTAAACTAGGGTCTGTGTCTCCTGGTGAGGACATATCACACTGAACTAAACTAGGGTATGTGTCTCCTGGTGAGGACATATCACACTGAACTAAACTAGGGTCTATCTCTCCTGGTGGGGACACATCACACTCAACTAAACTAGGGTATGTGTCTCATGGTGAGGACATATCACACTGAATTAAACTAGGGTCTATCTCTCTAGGGACATATTAAACTAGGGACATATCACACTCAACTAAACTAGGGTATGTGTCTCATGGTGAGGACATATCACACTGAGCTAAACTAGGGTCTATCTCTCCTGGTGGGGACATATCACAATGAGCTAAACTAGGGTCTATCTCTCCTGGTGGGGACATATCACACTGAACTAAACTAGGGTATATCTCTCCTCGCGGGGACATATGACACTGAATTATACTAGGGTCTATCTCTCCTGGAGGGGACATATCACACTGAGGCCAACTAGGGTCTGTGTCTCCTGGTGGGGACATATCACACTGAACTAAACCAGGGTCTATCTCTCCAGGTGGGGACATATCACACTGAACTAAACTAGGGCCTGTGTCTCCTGGTGGGGACATATCACATTGAACTGAACTAGGGTCTATCTCTCCTGGTGGGGACATATCACACTCAACTAAACTAGGGTCTATCTCTCCTGGTGGGGACATATCACATAAAACTGAACTGGGGTCTGTGTCTCATGGTGAGGACATATCACACTGAACTAAACTAGGGTCTGTGGCTCCTGGTAGGGACATATCACACTGAACTAAACTAGGGCCTGTGTCTCCTGGTGGGGACATATCACATTGAACTGAACTAGGGTCTGTGTCTCATGGTGGGGACATATCACATTGAACTAAACTAGGGTCTATCTCTCCTGGTGGGGACATATCACACTGAACTAAACTAGGGTCTATCTGTCCTGGTGGGGACATATCACATAAAACTAAACTAGGGGCTATCTCTCCTGGTGGGGACATATCACACTAAACTAAACTAGGGTCTATCTCTCCTGGTGGGGACATATGACACTGAACTAAACTAGGGTCAGTGTCTCCTGGTGGGGACATATCACACTGAGGCCAAGTAAGGTCTATCTCTCCTGGTGGGGACATATCACACTGAACTAAACTAGGGTCTGTATCTCCTGGTGAGGACATATCACACTAAACTAAACTAGGGTCAGTGTCTCCTGGTGGGGACATATCACACTGAACTAAACTAGGGTCAGTGTCTCCTGGTGGGGACATATCACACTGAACTAAACTAGGGTCAGTGTCTCCTGGTGGGGACATATCACACTGAGGCCAAGTAAGGTCTATCTCTCCTGGTGGGGACATATCACACTCAACTAAACTAGGATCTGTATCTCCTGGTGAGGACATATCACACTAAACTAAACTAGGGTCAGTCTCTCCTGGTGGGGACATATCACACTGAACTAAACTAGGGTCAGTGTCTCCTGGTGGCGACATATCACACTTAACTGAAATAGGGTCTGTCTCTTATGGTTTGCACATTGTCAACGGAACCAAAGAAGACACCCCTAACCCTTCACCCTAGTTATATGTCTCCCATGTCTCTCCTAGTTATGTTGTCTTGGTGTTCCCCTTAGTTATGTGGTCCCTATGCTCACCCTACTTATGTTGTCTTGGTGTTCCCCTTAGTTATGTGGTCCCCATTGTTCCCCCAGTTATGTTGTCTTGGTGTTCCCCTTAGTTATGTCGTCCCCATGCTCACCCTACTTATGTTGTGTTCGTGCTCCCCCTACTTGTGTTCGTGTTTTCACTACTTCTGTTGTGTTCGTGTTCCCCCTAGTTATGTTGTGTTCGTGTTCCCCCCAGTTATGGTGTGTTCGTGTTCCCCCTAATTATGTTGTGTTCGTGTTCCCCCTTGCCATGTTCTGTTCGTGTCCCCCCTACTTATGTTATGTTCGTGTTCCCCCTACTTCTCTTGTGTTTGTGTTCCCCCTAGTTATGTCAGTGTTACCCCTAGTAATAATGTGTTCGTGTCCCCCCTACTTATGTTGTGTTCGTGTTCCCCCTACTTATGGTGTGTTCGTGTTCCCCCTAGTTGTTGCATTCGTGTTCCCCTTAGTCATGTTGTGTTCGTGGCCCCCCTACTTCTCTTGTGTTTGTGTTCCCCCTAGTTATGTTGTGTTCGTGTTCCCACTAGTTATGTCAGTGTTACCCCTAGTAATAATGTGTTCGTGTTACCCCTACTTATGTTGTGTTCGTGTTCCCCCCCTAGTCATGTTGTCTTCGTGTTTCCCTTAGTTATGTTGTCTCTGTTTCAGCTAGATGTGTGGTATCCATGTTCACTTTTAGTTGTGGTCCGCACGTTCCCCTTTGCATGGTTGTTTCCATGTTAACCCTAGTTATGTGGGCTCCATGTTAACCCTAGTTATGTGGGCTCCATGTTAACCCTTGTTACGTGATCTCCATGTTAACCCTAGTTCTGTGGGTCCGTGTTAACCCTATTTATGTGAGCTCCATGTTAACCCTAGTTATGTTGTCTCCATGTTAACCCTAGGTCTCCATGTTAGCCCTAGTTATGTGGTCTCCATGTTAGCCCTAGTTATGTGGGCTCCATGTTAACCTAGTTATGTGGGCTCCATGTTAACCCTAGTTATGTTGTCTCCATGTTAACCCTAGTTATGTGGTCTCCATGTTAGCCCTAGTTATGTGGTCTCCATGTTAGCCCTAGTTATGTGGGCTCCATGTTAACCCTAGTTATGTTGTCTCCATGTTAACCCTAGTTATGTGGTCTCCATGTTAACCCTAGTTATGTGGTCTCCATGTTAACCCTAGTTATGTGGTCTCCATGTTAGCCCTAGTTAACCTATGGTCCCATAGTTAGCCCTAGTTATGTGGTCTCCATGTTAGCCCTAGTTATGTGGGCTCCATGTTAACCCTAGTTATGTTGTCTCCATGTTAACCCTAGTTATGTGGGCTCCATGTTAACCCTAGTTATGTGGTCTCCATGTTAACCCTAGTTATGTGGGCTCCATGTTAACCCTAGTTATGTGGTCTCCATGTTAGCCCTAGTTATGTGATCTCCATGTTAACCCTAGTTATGTGGGCTCCATGTTAACCCGTTACGTGATCTCCATGTTAACCCTAGTTATGTGGGCTCCAAGTTAACCCTAGTTATGTGAGCTCCATGTTAACCCTAGTTATGTTGTCTCCATGTTAACCCTAGCTATGTGGTCTCCATGTTAGCCCTAGTTATGTGGGTCCATGTTACCCTAGTTGTGTGGTCACCATTTTAACCCCCGTTATGTGGTCTCCATCTTCCACGTAATTATGTGTACCCCATTGTTCCCAAGAGGTATGTGGTCACCACATTCCAAAAGTTATGTGGTCTCCATGATCTCTCTAGTGATGTGAAGTCCATGGTGCCCAAAAGTTGGTTGTCCTCATGTTGCCCCTAGTTGTGTGGTCTCCATGTTGCCCCTAGTTGTGTGGTCTCCATGTTCCCCCTAGTTGTGTTGCCTCCATGTTCCCCCTAGTTGTGTGGTCACCATTTTAACCCCCGTTATGTGGTCTCCATGTTCCCCCTGGTTGTGTGGTCTCCATGTTCCCCCTAGTTCTGAGGTCTCCATGTTCCCCCTGGTTGTGGTCTCCATGTTCTCCCTGGTTGTGTGGTCTCCATGTTCTCCCTGGTTGTGTGGTCTCCATGTTCTCCCTAGTTGTGTGGTCTCCATGTTCCCCCTAGTTATGTTGTCTGCATGTTCACAATAGTTGTGTGGTCTTCATGTTGCCCCTAGTTGTGTGATCTCAGTGTTTACCTTTGTTATGTGATCTTTACATGTTGCACACTCTTGAGAAAGGGGAACTGCACACTTCATTTTTGTCCGTTTTCATGAGAGTTTGAAACCCCTGCACCCCCTGTCTGGATCCGCTGATAGGATACATTTGTTTATTGTATAACATTTCTTTGTTGTTTGTTTGTTTCACACTCCATGCTTTCACATATTTCTGGAAGTTGACACTCAACATGGGCAGGGAAGAATCCTTTGTTGTAGTTTAGATCAACAGGTGAAGGGAGTACACTTTCGGCAGTGGTAACTCTGGTTGCACGTCACCTCTACGTAATAAAATTTATTTATTCAGAAACAAACTACAGTGAAAACAAAATAATTTGACACTGTTATTTATTCAAATAAATTAGATGTAAAAAGTCAAATATTCATTTTCTATTCATGCATATATTGACTAATGTCACTCCATTCACTCAGTGGAATAACAGGTTGTAACACTGACCGCCAGTGTTAAGTAGCATGCTCAGTGGTACATATATGAAAACATTTCAAGTAGCTCACACAGTCTTACATACACACCTCTGTTACAAGTAGCTCACACAGTCTTACATACACACCTCTGTTACAAGTAGCTCACATAGTCTTACATACACCTCTGTTACAAGTAGCTCACACAGTCTTACATACACACCTCTGTTACAAGTAGCTCACACAGTCTTACATACACACCTCTGTTACAAGTAGCTCACACAGTCTTACATTCACACCTCTGTTTCAAGTAGCTCACACAGTCTTACATACACACCTCTATTTCAAGTAGCTCGTACCTTCTGGGTTATATGAACACGATGTTCCTCCTGGGTTATGTGTACACAATGTTCCTCCTGGGATATGTGTACACTATATTCCTCATGGGTTATGTGTACACAATGTTCCTCCTGGAATATGTATACATGGTGTTCCTCCTGGGTTATGTGTACACAATGTTCCTCGTGGGTTATGTGTACACAATATTCCTCCTGGGATATGTGTACACTATATTCCTCCTGGGTTATGTGTACACAATGTTCCTCCTGGAATATGTGCACACAATGTTCCTCCTGGGTTATGTGTACACAATGTTCCTCCTGGAATATGTGTACACAATGTTCCTCGTGGGTTATGTGTACACAATGTTCCTCCTGGAATATGTTTACACGGTGTTCCTCCTGGGACATGTGTACACAATGTTCCTCCGGGAATATGTGTACACAATGTTCCTCCTGGATTATGTGTACACAATGTTCCTCATGGGTTATGTGAACACAATGTTCCTCCTGGGTTATGTGTAAACAATGTTCCTCCTGGAATATGTGTACACAATGTCCCCTCATGAGAGAGTACCTGGGATATGTGTACACAATGTTCCTCCGGGAATATGTGTACACAATGTTCCTCCAGGAATATGTGTACACAATGTTCCTCCTGGGTTATGTGTACACAATGTCCCCTCATGTGAGAGTACCTGGGATATGTGTACACGATGTCCCCTCATGTGAGAGTACATGGGATATGTGTACACAATGTCCCCTCATGTGAGAGTTCCTAGGATATGTGTACACGATGTCCCCTCATGTGAGAGTACCTGGGATATGTGTACACGATGTCCCCTCATGTGAGAGTACCTAGGATATGTGTACACGATGTCCCCTCATGTGAGAGTACCTGGGATATGTGTACACGATGTCCCCTCATGTGAGAGTACCTGGGATATGTGTACACGATGTCCCCTCATGTGAGAGTACCTGGGATATGTGTACACGATGTCCCCTCATGTGAGAGTTCCTAGGATATGTGTACACGATGTCCCCTCATGTGAGAGTACCTGGGATATGTGTACACGATGTCCCCTCATGTGAGAGTACCTGGGATATGTGTACACGATGTCCCCTCATGTGAGAGTACATGGGATATGTGTACACGATGTCCCTCATGTGAGAGTACCTGGGATATGTGTACACGATGTCCCCTCATGTGAGAGTTCCTAGGATATGTGTACACGATGTCCCTCATGTGAGAGTTCCTAGGATATGTGTACACGATGTCCCCTCATGTGAGAGTACCTGGGATATGTGTACACGATGTCCCCTCATGTGAGAGTACCTGGGATATGTGTACACGATGTCCCCTCATGTGAGAGTACATGGGATATGTGTACACGATGTCCCCTCATGTGAGAGTACATGGGATATGTGTACACGATGTCCCTCATGTGAGAGTACATGGGATATGTGTACACGATGTCCCCTCATGTGAGAGTACATGGGATATGTGTACACGATGTCCCCTCATGTGAGAGTACATGGGATATGTGTACACGATGTCCCCTCATGTGAGAGTACATGGGATATGTGTACACGATGTCCCCTCATGTGAGAGTACATGGGATATGTGTACACGATGTCCCCTCATGTGAGAGTACATGGGATATGTGTACACGATGTCCCCTCATGTGAGAGTACATGGGATATGTGTACCACGATGTCCCCTCATGTGAGAGTACATGGGATATGTGTACACGATGTCCCCTCATGTGAGAGTACATGGGATATATGTGTACACGATGTCCCCTCATGTGAGAGTACATGGGATATGTGTACACGATGTCCCCTCATGTGAGAGTACCTGGGATATGTGTACACGATGTCCCCTCATGTGAGAGTACCTGGGATATGTGTACACGATGTCCCCTCATGTGAGAGTACCTGGGATATGTGTACACGATGTCCCCTCATGTGAGAGTACATGGGATATGTGTACACGATGTCCCTCATGTGAGAGTACCTGGGATATGTGTACACGATGTCCCCTCATGTGAGAGTACCTGGGATATGTGTACACGATGTCCCCTCATGTGAGAGTACCTGGGATATGTGTACACGATGTCCCCTCATGTGAGAGTACCTGGGATATGTGTACACGATGTCAATCAAACACATGCCTAAAAGTAAATGTTTGCTAAAAGTGTCAGTTTCTGAACAACCACAAATGATTCAAATGCAATCCACACCACAGTCACATATATCATATTTGTAATATCATGGCCTGCCATATTCATACAGAAAAACAGAGTAGGCCAATATAAGTGAATTCATTTTTGTAAAAATGACCTGCCGAAAATCTCACAACCTCCATAGCTTATTTCTCATGCCATCTTTGAATCGAAGTATTCTGGGTAGGTATTCTGCTTTTAAAAGGCAAAAGGAATATACTCGATGATGAAGATAAAGGCTAAGATTTAAAGCCTCCATTACCAAACTCTGTACAAAGCTGCGTATGAAATTGTTTTCCACTATAATTGAGACATCCTACTTATCATTGGTCCTGGACTCCAACACCCACTAACCCCTATGGTTACCATGGCAATACTGAATGTCAGGCACTATTTCCTTTCCATCTGGTTCTAGCATATCACTAATATTTAACAAAAAGTGCTATCATACTTGCATTGGAAGGTCTTTGCATTTTTGAAAATCAAGTATATATCCTAATTCAACCCAAACAACCAATGTAGCTGTTAACACCCCAAATCAATAGCATAGAAACATGCTGATAAAACCCTTTTGAAAAACAATACAAGATAATACCTGATTTCATATACAAGATTTCTGTACCATTATTTCAGATGAAATGTTATAGTATTCCCAGAAATTGAGAAAGTTGTTTCGGCACATATCTAATACATGTATATACACTATAGAAGGTTTACACTATAGAAGGTTTACACTATAGAAGGTTTACTTTAATGAATATGCTGAGATATGATTCTTTTACAGTCTAAGTGTCTGTTCAGTACTTTGTGAGATCTCCCTGCAATACACGACTGAATGCACCCAGGTACACTACCGATCAAAGGTTGTAGGAAATTGGATCACAGCGTATTCCAATACTCAACCACTTCTTTCTTCATATCCTCAAAATTTCTACGTCCATTTTGGTTTATTCTGTCCTTCATTAGTCCCCACACATTCTCAATAGGGTTAAAACCTGGGCTGTGGCTGCGCCAGTCTAAAACTTGAACATATTTGTCAGACAACCACTGTTTTGTGTAGTCAGCAGTGTGTTTTGGGTTGTTATCATGCTGGAAAATCCAATTACTGGTATCTTCATACAGTGTTTGGGCCGTTGGAAGGAGGTTATCATTTATTATGTCAACATATCGTTCATTCGTCAAATTTCCAATGCAAATACACAATGGCGTCACTCCACGTGATGATATCCAACCCCACATGTGAAATTTCGGGCTATGTCTTGGGAGTTGGTTGACAGGTTTCAAGGCATCTTTTGTCCAACTTTTCACACAGTTTGGAAAAAAACAGACAGAACTTTCATCAGAAAAGAAAACATTATCATATCTTGAATTTTGTGAGCCCTACACCAGTTAGAATGTCTTTCTTTTTGTGCATCTTTCATCAATGGTGAGGGAATTCCACACTTTTTTCACCCTGTTAAGTCTTTGTAATTCTTGTCTAAGAGTTTCATTACATACCTGAGGACTTCCTCTAAAAATCATCTCATTTCTGATATTATCAATGCTTTTCAGTTTTCCCCTATTCACAATCTGACCAAGTTGCCGGCGATCCGTAGTACTGAACTTCCTTGGCCTCCCTGCCCCTGTCTAGTGCTCAGTCCCAACTCCTGACTGAATATTCTTCAAAGTTCTGTATACTGTAGACAGAGGAATGTCATGTCTACCAGCTAACTCTTTGCCTTAGTCACACCCCTCTCAAAATCATCTAAAACCAGACTTTCTTTTCTCTTCTGCTGTCAAATCTGCCATGCCAACAAAGGAAGCTGTCTGCTACTCCAGGGGACATAACTCTTGATGTGGTAAGGTTCATTTTTAAGCCTACAAGAGTTGCCCCCCATATTGAGTACCTTACTACATAATGTAACAACGATTTTAAAATTCTATAATCAGTATTAGGGAACAAAGATTTTCTCCAAGAAAACCAAGATGCAAAGGTCCAAGAGTGTAAAGTTTAGGTTGCAGATCACTACCCCCAGATACAGCTGCTGAAGATCACTAACCCAGATACAGCTGCTGATCCACACAGCAGATCCTGCAGCTATAGATCACTACCCCCAGATACAGCTGTCGAAGATCAACACAGCAGATTGTGCCGCTAGATATCACTGCACCCAGATACAGCTGCTGAATATTGGCACAGCAGATCGTGTTACTGGATATCACTACACCAAGATACAGCTGCTGAATATTGGCACAGCAGATTGTGTCGCTGGATATCACTACCTCCAGATACAGCTGCTGAAGATCAACACAGCAGATACTGCAGCTACAGATGACTACCCCCAGATACAGCTGCTGAAGATCAACACAACAGATACTGCAGCTACAGATGACTACACCCCAGATACAGCTGCTGAAGATCAACACAGCTGCAGATCACTACCCCCAGATACAGCTGCTCAACAGATCCTGCTAACATCAACATTGGGATTGAGACTGAAAACACCATTTGCAAAGACAACAGAGAAAGGATCCTCTGTACAATTAGAGTTTCCTCAGTCACCCATATGAACCACTGACATGGTTTTGCCAAAGGTATTGTTACAAAGATGTATGAAACATGAATACTGTATAAAATTAGCAAACTGTACACTTGCTACCAAGTCTCAGATATCACCATCTGTCAACGCCAGTTCAACAACCAGAGTTTTCAACATGAAGTTCACATCATGGTAGAACATGTAAAACATGGTAATCCTTACATTAGTAAGACACCTTCATTTCTCACTGGCACATTCAAATAGCATCTGAATACGAAGATAGTTATATATACATATATTATATATACATTCTCTCCCCCATAAAAGAAACTACATACATCAACATGTACACATGTTGTCCCTATATTATATACTTGTAACAAATGACATACATCCAAATAACATAATAAAACAAACTACATACATCTACACAGATACATGTTCTAGCCCATATAAAATACTCGTAACAAACTACATACATCTACATAGATACATGTTCTAGCACATATAAAATACTTGTAACAAACTACATACATCTACACAGATACATGTTCTAGCCCATATAAAATACTCGTAACAAACTACATTCATCCACACAGATACATGTTCTAGCCCATATAATATACCCATAACAAACTACATACATCCACACACACATCCACACACACACTTCAGATGAGTATTCTCAATGATCACATGACCACAACAGTTTTTTTTATTTGAATTTCACATTGGTTGTTTCATTTATCTTATCAATGCTAATGCCTACAGACTTTGATTCATTTTACAAGTTGTAACATGGGCAATACTGACAGAGGTATAACAGAGATGGGTTCAACAACTATTGTGAAAATACACATATACACCTACTGAGGGGTGCAACAACTCCAGTGAAAATATACACATATACACCTACTGAGGGGGGCAACAACTCCAGTGGATATACACATATACACCTACTGAGGTGTGCAACAACTCCAGTGGATATACACATATACACCTACTGAGGGGGGCAACAACTCCAGTGGATATACACATATACACCTACTGAGGGGTGCAACAACTCCAGTGGATATGAGGGGTGCAACAACTCCAGTGGATATATACACCTACTGAGGGGTGCAACAACTCCAGTGGATATACACATATACACCTACTGAGGGGTGCAACAACTCCAGTGGATATACACATATACACCTACTGAGGGGGGCAACAACTCCAGTGGATATACACATATACACCTACTGAGGGGGGCAACAACTCCAGTGGATATACACATATACACCTACTGAGGGGTGCAACAACTCCAGTGGATATAACTCCAGTGGATATACATACACCTACTGAGGGGTGCAACAACTCCAGTGGATATACACATATACACCTACTGAGGGGTGCAACAACTCCAGTGGATATACACATACACACCTACTGAGGGGTGCAACAACTCCAGTGATATACACATATACACCTACTGAGGGGGGCAACAACTCCAGTGGATATACACATATACACCTACTGAGGGGGCAACAACTCCAGTGGATATACACATATACACCTACTGAGGGGTGCAACAACTCCAGTGGATATACACATATACACCTACTGAGGGGGCAACAACTCCAGTGGATATACACATATACACCTACTGAGGGGTGCAACAACTCCAGTGGATATACACATATACACCTACTGAGGGGGCAACAACTCCAGTGGATATACACATATACACCTACTGAGGGGGGCAACAACTCCAGTGGATATACACATATACACCTACTGAGGGGTGCAACAACTCCAGTGGATATACACATATACACCTACTGAGGGGTGCAACAACTCCAGTGGATATACACATATACACCTACTGAGGGGGGCAACAACTCCAGTACACATATACACCTACTGAGGGGTGCAACAACTCCAGTGGATATACACATATACACCTACTGAGGGGTGCAACAACTCCAGTGGATATACACATATACACCTACTGAGGGGGGCAACAACTCCAGTGCTATGCTACACCTACTGAGGGGTGCAACAACTCCACATATACACCTACTGAGGGATGCAACAACTCCTACTGAGGGGTGGATATACACATATACACCTACTGAGGGGTGCAACAACTCCAGTGGATATACACATATACACCTACTGAGGGGTGCAACAACTCCAGTGGATATACACATATACACCTACTGAGGGGTGCAACAACTCCAGTGGATATACACATATACACCTACTGAGGGGGGCAACAACTCCAGTGCTACTGAGGGGTGCAACAACTCCAGTGGATATACACATATACACCTACTGAGGGGTGCAACAACTCCAGTGGATATACACATATACACCTACTGAGGGGGGCAACAACTCCAGTGCTACTGAGGGGTGCAACAACTCCAGTGGATATACACATATACACCTACTGAGGGATGCAACAACTCCAGTGGATATACACATATACACCTACTGAGGGGTGCAACAACTCCAGTGGATATACACATATACACCTACTGAGGGGTGCAACAACTCCAGTGGATATACACATATACACCTACTGAGGGGTCCAGTGCTACTGAGGGGTGCAACAACTCCAGTGGATATACACATATACACCTACTGAGGGGTGCAACAACTCCAGTGGATATACACATATACACCTACTGAGGGGTGCAACAACTCCAGTGGATATACACATATACACCAGTATAAACCTGATACGTAAAATTTCAAGGGACTCACCAAAATTGTTTACTTATCAGGTATTTAACTTATCAAAACTTATCAAAACCCGGAAATGACGCCTGCGAGCTGTAAGTAGGATGTTTGTTTAGCCGGAGACTGACACGTACCCCTCTTGTCGGATTATGTGTTGATCGCTTATTTAGTTGTCCGGTTTCTTTTGTTAAGGAATTTACTTCCAGGGATCGTGAAAAAACGTTTAGTTAAGCGTTATTGTTTACTTATCTGAGTTTAGTTAACCGGACTCTAATAATGATAAGTAATGAAGAAATTTGCCTGGACCAAAAAATAGTGTTTACTTATCTGGTATGTTTAGTTTCCACTGTATATATTATATATTTACTGAGGGGTGCAACAACTCCAGTTGATATACACACATTGACAAATTGAAAAATTGTAACTATGAATTGTATATTTATAATACTTATCCTATCTCACTTTTTGTATTCTCTCCGGTATGATCGACTGTTGAGTGGAAACCAACCGTAAACAAAGTTTCTGGCGTCTCTTGTACCATTCGCACAAAAACAGTCTTTACTGCTCCCCCTACTGGACAGCCTGGTAGCCTCCTTAGAAGCTTGCAGCATGGCCTCGGTTGATCATGTGACTCCTTTGTCTAGTCATTCTCTTTCGTGGAGCCAATGTTGTAATATGTGTAGTGGGGTAAGTCCATTGAATCCATTGTTTGAGTTAGGATAAGTATTATAAATACACAATTTACAGTTAAGATTTTCAAATTATTAACCTTATCCTATCTCAAGTTTTGTACTTATCCCACAGTCGGACGGACTGTTGTGTGTACAATCTCCGATTGACTACATGACTCCTATACTGGTGATGGGTTGCTTCTTCCAAAACCCAATGGCTTACTTGGCGCTCCTGAGTAAATGTGGTTTTCCACCATATATTTGTCATTCGACAAATGCAGAACTCAGCAAGTGACTCGCCTTGCCCCTGATTTTCAGAAGGCACCGGTAAATTTAAAGTCTTGTGACCCTGCTTTGAAACCATCCACACAGTCACCATGCAGGTGAAAGGGAAATCGGCTCGGTTAGCTCAACTGTTTTAATGTTCAGTTCCGAATGACATCAAATGACCCAAGTTCCTTTGCTTAAGGTTAGTCAAGGAAGTGAACGGCAGCTTAGGAGCAGAACGCATCGAAATCCACTTGAATTACGCGAAGAGTAGAGGCCAGTAAGCATGAGTGTCAATCGCCTTTGGATCATAGTAAAACAGTCAACAGTGACTGTACTGCAATGCCCGGGCATGAAGTTAGGTGAGGTATATCTATGCAATACTATTGCAATGATTTTTCTCTCCTTGAATTGTCTCATCTGAAGCCATTTCCCTAATGATTGTACAGCTTTTATGAAATAGAAACGAGTTGAAGTAGTTTCAGTCTCTTTTAACAAATGAGAAGAAACTTGAAACCCAGATCAAGTAAACAGTTTATACAGCCTCGTGTAAGAATGTCGAGTTTTGATTGGTTCACGTGACTCTGATAAAATAACCTGTACACCCGTCACGATCTGAGAGCAGGGAGTACAAAAGTCATATTATCCCGCCACGCCTCGGTGACCACGCGAAGTGAGAAATGCGTGCATTGCCAAGCCTTTAGTAACGTGCGCTGCGTTGAGGTCAACTGATCAGCTGTTGTCAACATGGCAGCAAAATGTTAACATTGTGTTAACAAATGAAGGGTTTTAAAAAACTGAACACTCCCTTTGATTGAACTTTGACTCATGACCGTGACCCGTAATCTGTGAACTGTGGAATCTCACATAAATAAAAACAAGTCGATTCGATGCGTATTGTTTTCTTTTGATTTAGTAAAAACATTCGGCTAGATAAATGCGTTATCACATAGTGTCAAGGGAAATACGGGATTTTATTCCCCGAGCCAGAGGCTCGAGGAATACAACCATACTCGGGACTGATAAAACCCTGTATTTCCCTCGACACGATGTGATCACTTATAGAATGACTAGACAAAGGAGTCACATGATCAACCGGAGGCCATGCTGCAAGCTTCTAAGGAGGCTACCAGGCTGTCCAGTAGGGGGAGCAGTAAAGACTGTTTGGGCGAATGGTACAAGAGACGCCAGAAACTTTGTTTACGGTTGGTTTCCACTCAACAGTCGATCATACCGGAGAGAGTACAAGAAGTGAGATAGGAGAAGTTTAAAAATTGGACTCACTTGGAAATACGAAAGCAAAGTTGGTTATCTCATAAAAATGGATTTAACGGAATGATTGCAATTGTTTTTTGAGCCTGCTTTATCAAGGAAGGTTACATAATAGGTGAACAATGGTTCACATAGATAGAACACACACACAGGAAGAAGGGGTTATATTTAACCAGGTGAATTATTAGTGTTGTATGGTATCGTTTCTATTTCGCTTTTCACAAACATTGCACTAACAGGGTCCTCAGGTACAATAACTTGACACATTCTGACATACACAGACATCCAGCCACATCCAGCCTACTGTCACAGCTTCTCCCACACTCAGTCTGGCACAACAGCGTACACCACAGCTCCTAACACCCCGCAGTGTAACACCTTTCTCTACAGAACACCGGTGGCATTGGATGTCAGTTGCATATTTCGACCTGACCATGTCTCAGCACCGGACACTCCAAAAGTACATGTTGCAAGTTCCTTCCTGCCAGTGACAGAGCATGGCAGTGACAGAGCGTGGCAGTGACAGAGCGTGGCATACAAAGCAGTCAGTGTGGCTCATTCACTCTTCACAACATCATGGATACAACTTGAACATATAGAAAACTGTTCAAACCTATCCTCTCTCTAACACCATGATGAGCACAACTCCCTGGCTTTACCCTGATATAATGTTGACCTTGAAAGGGATACAAAAATAGAAGTTCTGTACACATGGCAATGGTCTGACACTTCAAATAGTCTCATCATTAAAACATTCTTAATCACTGACCCAGTCACACTACTGGCTCTTCTAAATCTCTGATAAACATTGGAGTCCCTTCCCTTCATGCTAGCAGTTCCTTGCCTACATTTCCACATATACCAATGAACATTTCATAGGGATGTGTGACCTGAGATAGACACAGACATTTGGGGTTCCAACTAGGACAAATCACTAACATCAGCACCAATCATCGATACATGGAAACTTTTAAATATTTTGTTGATGCCATGAAGAAGTATTGAGCTGATGTCTGTTGTCATGCCTGGAAAGGAATGACATCATCATCATCATCATCCCTTAAAGCAGTATACATACAGGTGGGCGTATGATGATGAAGTGTTACCTAAGTACATTCTTGAATACTGAGCAACAAATAGACTGAAGGCATCAGTATACCCACTTCTTACTGACAGTTGGCATCTTTGGCCGACATTCCACAACATCTTTGTCCGACATTCCACAAACACCAAAAAAGCATCGATAAATCCTTGAATTAAGTATAGTGCCTCTGCAAAGTGTGTGTTTGGTACTGTTTAAAAACTTCAATGTTATTGTGCAAGCGATATTGTTGTTATCATCACAATCTTACTCAAGCCCAAACATATGTAGAGGTCAATGAGATGCTCACAGACACCAAGGGGGCCTTACACTCCCATCATCCACAGCAATCACTGGTTACCATGACTATTACAAGATACACAAATTATTTTTACATTAAAAAATAACAATAGCAATCAAATGTTCTCATGTTCTAATCTTTCCTTTATGCAAAATGGGAAATCAAATGTTCTCTTGTTCTAGTCCGCACTTTATGTTAAATGCGTGTCAATGTTTTCATATTCAAGTCCTTCCTTTGTGTAAAATGGTAATCAGATGGTCCAAAGTTACAGCTAGCCAGTCCAATGGTCTGGTAAAACATTTAGATAAAATGTTCCATACACCTGAGTAAATATACCGTATCTTAAAATCTATTCTCTGAAAATGACCGTCGTGAATAGACAGTTAGACAGTAAATACATGTTTCAGGTTCATTAAATTATTCATTGTAACTAAATATTTAGTTATTTTCTTTGCATTGCCTGGTCTGGTAAAATGCATTTTGGGCTGGTAACATTTTGAAGTTACCAGCCATGATGTCTGGCTGGGTTTTGGGCATATTTCATACACTGTTATATATCATACCAATGACAAGCATCATGTACCCCAGCATAACCACCTTTGGTCAGTTCAATGAGATGTCAATCTAGACCACAAGAGGGTTATCGGAACTAGATGTCTGTCTGGAAGATGAGGTGAATTACACCTTTGGATCCGGATTAGGACACATCATGGTCAACAAGGGAGGAAGATCTCCTCATACCAGTGAACCTCCACACATACTGACAGGTGGAATCACACATAAAAATAGTGCACTAGAAAACTAAATAAAAGCAACTGAATAGGAATGGTTGTTCTGCACAACATATACACAAGTCATTACAAAGTGCAATATTTACAAATGACCAGATAGTCCTGGACTGTTTTTCTTCATTGAATACAAACCACAAAAAGTTACAATCTGTCCAACAAAGGTCAACAAGTGGGGGATCCAGGATGATGGGACAAGCTCCAATCATTAGTTACATCTCTTGAGGAGACAGTTCACCTTCTGTACGAGACAAGGGGAACAGTTCATGCACAGTTCATGCACCAACTGCGATGACAACCTTCATTTGTGTGTAATCCAGAATCCCTGTTTCTCAGACAAGTGGGATAGTTTGTGGCTTGTGAGATACTAGTATATGTTTGAGACCGCTGGTTGTGGAAAGACAGTTTGGTTAAGAGTCATGTCCCTGTCTCATAGTAAACCTAGCCGAGATAATGCCATCTGTCGTCGTAGTCTGGTGATTTCCAAGAATGTATCTTTTTCTGAAACACAGCCAAGTTGAGGACATGTTATCACTCTGTGTTTACATTATACATGTTTCTATGCATGGCATTCAGTGATAGTGCTAAGAATATACAATCATCAAGATAAAAGTTTAACGGCCAACTATTTTGAATCATGCATGCTTATGAACAATCATCCTGTCATGTACTTTGTTTTCTTTCAATTGCTGTGTGGAAACACTTTCCTGTGTTTCACGCTTTAAAAAAAACCCTCACCCAAACACTCTTTACATGATGCCATGGTAACAATTCCTCTGGTATCACAGCAAGAACTTGGGTCAAGAGCACCTTGCCCTAATATGCTTTGGCAAACATTTTCTTGCAAAGCTCATACAGGCTTGTGCAGTGGGGATTGACAGGTGGGAGTTCATAGTTTGAGATTGGATAAGTACTTATAAATATACAACTTGGTGTACAAGTTTGAAAGTTATATAAAACTTATCTTCTCTTACAATGAGCAATTAAAACTGTTAAAACTGTGAGACTATCTAAACCATGAGCCAATCTTGATTTTCACATTGTCATGAAAGGTATAGTCTTGAAACCTTAGATGGTCATTTCTGGAACCTCTTGGTGCTTAAAATTTATTTCTACAGTATAAATAATATCTACTAATCATCCTGACTCATAGTAATTACTTATCTCTTCATTCTCCCACAGTGGAAACCTCCTATGCTGTGTTCCCCAAAAACAGAAAAAATCTCACCAGAACACACCAATGCCCGTAAACACTGATATTTTCATGTTTGAGGGTCTGAATTATAATAATTTAGGGTAGAGTGGGGACGGCTGGGTAGTTTAGCGAATGAGTCAGGATAAGTTTTTACTCTGAAAAATATGCAATATTCTATGCCAAAAGTTGGAGTTTCCCTTTAAAGCTGGAGTGAGTCAACCTGTCATGAATGGGGTCTGAACAATAAGTTGCCTCACATGACAAGCAACAGTCTTAGGAGCTTCTGTAACAAAGGTCCATGCATGGTAACTTATGAATAGGAAGTTCCGACAATATTAAAAGACTGAAGCATCCCCTACCTTCTTGTCTGACCAGCCCTTGGTGAATGTACCTGATGTAGGTGTAGAAATCACACACTGAGGCAATCTGCAAGTAACAAGCACACAACAACTACTTGCAACATACTAATGGCATCCATACATGTATTGAGTTTGTCATTGATTCAGTTGTCTTGATCATCTACCTGTCACACTATTGTCACACTACTGGTACTAATCTACTGTCACACTATTGTAACACAGTGTGGTACTGATCTACCTGTCACACTATTGTCACACAGTGTGGTACTGATCTACTGTCACACTATTGTAACAAAGTGTGGTACTGATCTACTGTCACACTATTGTAACACAGTGTGGTACTGATCTATCTGTCACACTATTGTAACACAGTGTGGTACTGATCTACTGTCACACTATTGTAACACAGTCTGGTACTGATCTACCTGTCACACTATTGTAACACAGTGTGGTACTGATCTACTGTCACACTATTGTAACACAGTGTGGTACTGATCTACCAGTCACACAGTGTGGTACTGATCTATCTGTCACACTATTGTAACACAGTGTGGTACTGATCTATCTGTCACACTATTGTAACACAGTGTGGTACTGATCTACCTGTCACACTATTGTAACACAGTGTGGTACTGATCTATCTGTCACACTATTGTAACACAGTGTGGTACTGATCTACCTGTCACACTATTGTAACACAGTGTGGTACTGATCTACCTGTCACACTATTGTAACACAGTGTGGTACTGATCTATCTGTCACACTATTGTAACACAGTGTGGTACTGATCTATCTGTCACACTATTGTAACACAGTGTGGTACTGATCTATCTGTCACACTATTGTAACACAGTGTGTGGTACTGATCTATCTGTCACACTATTGTAACACAGTGTGGTACTGATCTATCTGTCACACTATTGTAACACAGTGTGGTACTGATCTATCTGTCACACTATTGTAACACAGTGTGGTACTGATCTATCTGTCACACTATTGTAACACAGTGTGGTACTGATCTATCTGTCACACTATTGTAACACAGTGTGGTACTGATCTATCTGTCACACTATTGTAACACAGTGTGGTACTGATCTATCTGTCACACTATTGTAACACAGTGTGGTACTGATCTATCTGTCACACTATTGTAACACAGTGTGGTACTGATCTACTGTCACACTATTGTCACACAGTGTGGTACTGATCTATCTGTCACACTATTGTAACACAGTGTGGTACTGATCTACTGTCACACTATTGTAACACAGTGTGGTACTGATCTACTGTCACACTATTGTAACACAGTGTGGTACTGATCTACTGTCACACTATTGTAACACAGTGTGGTACTGATCTATCTGTCACACTATTGTAACACAGTGTGGTACTGATCTATCTGTCACACTATTGTAACACAGAGTGGTACTGATCTACAGTGTGGGTAATTGATCTATCTGTCACACTATTGTAACACAGTGTGGTACTGATCTACCTGTCACACTATTGTAACACAGTGTGGTACTGATCTATCTGTCACACTATTGTAACACAGTGTGGTACTGATCTATCTGTCACACTATTGTAACACAGTGTGGTACTGATCTATCTGTCACACTATTGTAACACAGTGTGGTACTGATCTATCTGTCACACTATTGTAACACAGTGTGGTACTGATCTACCTGTCACACTATTGTAACACAGTGTGGTACTGATCTACCAATCTTGTAACACACTGTGATGCTGATCTACCAAGCCTGTTATAACACACTGTGATGCTGATCTACCAAGCCTGTTATAACACACTGTGATGCTGATCTACCAAGCCTGTTATAACACACTGTGATGTTGATCTACCAAGCCTGTTATAACACACTGTGATGCTGATCTACCAAGCCTGTTATAACACACTGTGATGTTGATCTACCAAGTCTGTTATAACACACTGTGATGTTGATCTACCAAGTCTGTTATAACACACTGTGATGTTGATCTACCAAGCCTGATATAACACTGTGATGCTGATCTACCAAGTCTGTTATAACACACTGTGATGTTGATCTACCAAGTCTGTTATAACACTAATGTGGTGCTGATCTACCAAGTCTGTTATAACACACTGTGATGCTGATCTACCAAGCCTGTTACAACACACTGTGATGCTGATCTACCAAGCCTGTTATAACACATGTGGTGCTGATCTACAAAGCCTGTTATAACACTGTGATGCTGATCTACCAAGCCTGTTATAACACATATGTGGTGCTGATCTACCAAGCCTGTTATAACACATATGTGGTGCTGATCTACCAAGCCTGTTATAACACACTGTGATGCTGATCTACCAAGTCTGTTATAACACTTTGTGATGCTGATCTACCAAGTCCGTTGTAACACATATGTGGTGCTGATCATTTAGTCAAATCCGTACGAGTTTTCAATTCCTTAAAGAGAGTCTTCCTTGGGTACATATATGCATTTTCTGTTGCTGAAAATGTCCTGTGACAGTTGTAACAATGTTTTAATAAAATCAAAACTTGGTTCTTTTATCTGTTATATGGTACCCAAACCACCTACAACTGAAGTGAGAGAGACGACTCTTAAAAAGGCAAGGCTGAACAGCTAAATCAACAATAAAAGGCAATTCCCAAGGTGGGCAGGTTTGCTGCAGAGCCAGTCGATCCCTATCCACACCAGCTAAGAATTGCAGAGGGTGTTGCTCATGGAGAGCACCATTGAAAGGGATAAGAAAAGTGGACATAGCCACGGAGTACCATGAAGAATGGGTGAGGCCACAAGACCTTCTTCCAAACAGGACTGAAGACATTGCAATATCGGAACTAAATCACCAGAAAAGGGATTTGAAATCCGCTTAACTAACCACAACGCACATACTGGGCCAACCTATCTATATACTGAATGTTTGTCTAATCCCGCTTGGAAGCCAGAATAGCTAGGTACCACTGCTTCAACTGAAGCTAGATCTGACAGAGGCCAAACCACCCATTAAATCCGACGATTCAGGTGTGGCGTGCCGTTGTCATTGAGAATGTCCAGGCCGAAAGGGTAATAAAACAGGATTGGTCAGGGTAGACCCCTCGCCGTTGCAAAAAAACAGCTGGGCCCCACCAGCACCATGCCCTTTACTCACAGCCGTAGCACTTTTCTGAGATTGATCTGCCTTCCCTGTTATGAGCTTCCCTGTTGCGACACATCCCTGAGATTGGTCTACCTTCCCTGTTGCAACAAATTCCTGACGGTGGTCTACTTTCAATGTTGTGACACATTCCTGACATTGGTCTACATTCCCTGTTGCGACATATTCCTGACATTGGTCTACATTCCCTGTTGTGACACATCCCTGAGACTGATCTACCTTCCCTGTTGTGACACATCCCTGAGACTGATCTACCATCTCTGTTGTGACACATCCCTGAGACTGATCTACCTTCTCTGTTGTGACACATCCCTGAGACTGATCTACCTACCCTGTTGTGACACATCCCTGAGACTGATCTACCATCTCTGTTGTGACACATCCCTGAGACTGATCTACCTTCCCTGTTGTGACACATCCCTGAGACTGATCTACCTACCTGTTGTGACACATCCCTGAGACTGATCTACCATCTCTGTTGTGACACATCCCTGAGACTGATCTACCTTCCCTGTTGTGACACATCCCTGAGACTGATCTACCATCTCTGTTGTGACACATCCCTGAGACTGATCTACCTTCCCTGTTGTGACACATCCCTGAGACTGATCTACCATCTCTGTTGTGACACATCCCTGAGACTGATCTACCTTCCCTGTTGTGACACATCCCTGAGACTGATCTACCATCTCTGTTGTGACACATCCCTGAGACTGATCTACCTTCCCTGTTGTGACACATCCCTGAGACTGATCTACTCTATCCCTGTTGTGACACATCCCTGAGACTGATCTACCTTCCTGTTGTGACACATCCCTGAGACTGATCTACCATCTCTGTTGTGACACATGACACATCCCTGAGATCTACCATCTCTGTTGTGACACATCCCTGAGACTGATCTACCATCTCTGTTGTGACACATCCCTGAGACTGTTGTGACACATCCCTGAGACTGATCTACCTGTCCCTGTTGTGACACATCCCTGAGACTGATCTACCATCTCTGTTGTGACACATCCCTGAGACTGATCTACCTTCCCTGTTGTGACACATCCCTGAGACTGATCTACCATCCCTGTTGTGACACATCCCTGAGACTGATCTACCTTCCCTGTTGTGACACATCCCTGAGACTGATCTATCCTGAGACTGATCATCCTGTTGTGACATCTTCCCTGTTGTGCCAGACTCCCCTGAGACTGATCTACCTTCCCTGTTGCCAGACACATCCCCTGAGACTGATCTACCCTGTTGTGACCATCCCTGAGACTGATCTGCCATCTCTGTTGTGACACATCCTCTGAGACTGATCTACCTACCCTGTTGCGACATCTCTCTGAGACTGATCTACTTACCCTGTTTCGACACATTTGTGATATTGAGTACCACTCCTGGTCCTCCTCCAGTTTGATCTTGTAGTTGCACAATTTGTTTGTTTCAGTCAGGGAACACTTCCTGGAACAGACCACAGCAGGAAATGGCAAATAGGAGCATTTTCAAAAATATAAATGACAGCAATTACAAATATATCAGATGATGACAGAGTCTGAATATAATGTTGTTTGTTCTATTGTGTGGGTGCAATGTGACATGAAGCAGTGGTACTGTACCTGGTGCTAGAGTTGTTTGTTCTATTGTGTGGGTGTGATGTGACATGAAGCAGTGATACTGTACCTGGTACTAGAGTTGTTTGTTCTATTGTGTGGGTGTGATGTGACATGAAGCAGTGATACTGTACCTGGTACCTAGAGTTGTTTGTTCTATTGTGAGGATGTGATGTGACATGAAGCAGTGATACTGTTCCCTGATGCTAGAGTTGTTTGTTCTATTGTGAGGGTGTGATGTGACATGAAGCAGTGATACTGTACCTGGTGCTAGAGTTGTTTGTTCTATTGTGTGGGTGTGATGTGACATGAAGCAGTGATACTGTACCTGGTGCTAGAGTTGTTTGTTCTATTGTGTGGGTGTGATGTGACATGAAGCAGTGATACTGTACCTGGTGCTAGAGTTGTTTGTTCTATTTGTGAGGGTGTGATGTGACATGAAGCAGTGATACTGTACCTGGTACTAGAGTTGTTTGTTCTATTGTGAGGGGTGTGATGTGACATGAAGCAGTGATACTGTACCTGGTGCTAGAGTTGTTTGTTCTATTGTGAGGGTGTGATGTGACATGAAGCAGTGATACTGTACCTGGTGCTAGAGTTGTTTGTTCTATTGTGTGGGTGTGATGTGACATGAAGCAGTGATACTGTACCTGGTGCTAGAGTTGTTTGTTCTATTGTGAGGGTGCAATATGACATGAAGCAGTGATACTGTACCTGGTACTAGAGTTGTTTGTTCCATTGTGAGGGTGTGATGTGACATGAAGCAGTGATACTGTTCCTGGTACTAGAGTTGTTTGTTCCATTGTGAGGGTGTGATGTGACATGAAGCAGTGGTACTGTACCTGGTGCTAGAGTTGTTTGTTCTAATGTGTGGGTGTGATGTGACATGAAGCAGCCGCCAGTCTTTGTACCTGGTACTAGAGTTGTTTGTTCTATTGTGAGGGTGTGATGTGACATGAAGCAGTGGTACTGTTCCTGATGCTAGAGTTGTTTGTTCTATTGTGAGGGTGTGATGTGACATGAAGCAGTGGTATTGTACCTGGTGCTAGAGTTGTTTGTTCTCATTGTGAGGGTGTGATGTGACATGAAGCAGTGATACTGTACCTGGTACTAGAGTTGTTTGTTCTATTGTGTGGGTGTGATGTGACATGAAGCAGTGATACTGTTCCTGATGCTAGAGTTGTTTGTTCTATTGTGAGGGTGTGATGTGACATGAAGCAGTGATACTATTTCCTGGTACCAGAGTTGTTTGTTCTATTGTGAGGGTGTGATGTGACATGAAGCAGTGATACTGTACCTGGTACTAGAGTTGTTTGTTCTATTGTGAGGGTGTGATGTGACATGAAGCAGTGATACTGTTCCTGGTGCTAGAGTTGTTTGTTCTCATTGTGAGGGTGTGATGTGACATGAAGCAGTGATACTGTTTCCTGATGCTAGAGTTGTTTGTTCTATTGTGAGGGGTGTGATGTGACATGAAGCAGTGATACTGTACCTGGTGCTAGAGTTGTTTGTTCTATTGTGGGGTGTGATGTGACATGAAGCAGTGATACTGTTCCTGGTGCTAGAGTTGTTTGTTCTATTGTGAGGGTGTGATGTGACATGAAGCAGTGGTACTGTACCTGGTGCTAGAGTTGTTTGTTCTATTGTGTGGGTGTGATGTGACATGAAGCAGTGGTACTGTACCTGGGGTAAGAGTTGTCACCTGGAATTGGTTCTATTGTGAGGGTATTGTGTTCTACACAATGCTGTACTCTCTCTGCCAACTGAAACACATCATAGATATCAATGTATTACTTGTATTAGTGTATTTAATGCTGATGAAATTTATGACACTGTTAGGCTAATGCAACTGACTGAAATATATATAGTACGTTGTAAATGAGTGAATAAACTGTACCAGAATTCGGCAGCAGAGCATGACAGATGGTGACAGCTCCATCATCAATGTGTATAACAGATTACCATACAACAACCAATCATTGTTTATAAACTGTACCAGTATTCTGCAGCACAGTATGACAGATGGTGACAGCTCCATCGTCAATATGTATATCAGATTACCGTTAGCGATCATACAACAACCAATGAGAGTGTATATAGACTGTACCCAGTATTCTGCAGCACAGCATGACAGATGGTGACAGCTCCATCATCAATGTGTATATCAGATTACCGCATACAACAACCAATGAGTGTGTATAAACTGTACCAGTATTCTGCAGCACAGTATGACAGATGGTGACAGCTCCATCATCAATGTGTATATCAGATTACCGTACAACAACCAATGAGTGTATATAATGAGGAGCTGTGGGCTTAACTGGCTAAAGCACCAGGCTAGTGATCCAGCGAGCTTGAGGTGCCGGATCGAGCCCACCTGTGATATGTGGTGTAAAACCTTGGAGTCAACTTTGTGTGAAGACTCTTTCAGTGTTTGTCACAACCCCTAGTGTACAGTACACAACCCTGTGCACTTAAAAGAACCCACGAATCCGTTGGTATATGACCAGATGGTGGCCACATAAATGCGTGCAAACACCCAGTTGCAGGTACAGCAGCGTTACAGTGAAACATGGACAAAGTACTGTGACTATGTGTCCCAGTCCACCCAGCTGTAAATGGGTACCTCAAAGGATGGGAATGCCACACTAACTGTTCGGTCGCCCGTGGCTGCAAGAGTTGTATGCTCCCCAGGGAGTTGAGATTGACAATACGATGTGCCGTTGAGATTGACATCCAGTAAACGAGGGAGAAAAACAAAGCCTTTGAGCAGCTGAGCTGAGCTGGATATCAGCGCTATACAAATGTTAGTATGTATGTATGTATGTATGTATAAACTGTACCAGTATTCTGCAGCACAGTATGACAGGCGGTGACAGCTCCATCATCAATGTGTATAACAGATTACCGTTACAACAACCAATCATTGTTTATAAACTGTACCAGTATTCTGCAGCATAGCATGACAGATGGTGACAGCTCCATCATCAATGTGTATATCAGATTACCGTACAACAACCAATGAGTGTATATAAACTGTACCAGTATTCTGCAGCACAGTATGACAGATGGTGACAGCTCCATCATCAATGTGTATATCAGATTACCATACAACAACCAATGAGTGTATATAAACTGTACCAGTATTCTGCAGCACAGTATGACAGATGGTGACAGCTCCATCATCAATGTGTATATCAGATTACCATACAACAACCAATGAGAGTGTATAAACTGTACCAGTATTCTGCAGCACAGTATGACAGATGGTGACAGCTCCATCATCAATGTGTATATCAGATTACCGTACAACAACCAATGAGTGTTTATAAACTGTACCAGTATTCTGCAGCACAGTATGACAGATGGTGACAGCTCCATCATCAATGTGTATAACAGATTACCGTACAACAACCAATGAGTGTATATAAACTGTACCAGTATTCTGCAGCACAGTATGACAGATGGTGACAGCTCCATCATCAATGTGTATATCAGATTACCGTACAACAACCAATGATTGTTTATAAACTGTACCAGTATTCTGCAGCACAGTATGACAGATGGTGACAGCTCCATCATCAATGTGTATATCAGATTACCGTACAACAACCAATGATTGTTTATAAACTGTACCAGTATTCTGCAGCACAGTATGACAGATGGTGACAGCTCCATCATCAATGTGTATATCAGATTACCGTACAACAACCAATGTATTCTGCAGCACAGTATAAACTGTAGCTCCATCCAAGTATTCTGCAGCCAATGATTGTTTATATGACACTATGAGGGTGACAGCTCCATCATCAATGTGTATATCAGATTACCGTACAACAACCAATGAGTGTGTATAAACTGTACCAGTATTCTGCAGCACAGTATGACAGATGGTGACAGCTCCATCATCAATGTGTATATCAGATTACCGTACAACAACCAATGAGAATATATAAACTGTACCAGTATTCTGCAGCACAGCATGACAGATGGTGACAGCTCCATCATCAATGTGTATATCAGATTACCGTACAACAACCAATGAGTGTATATAAACTGTACCAGTATTCTGCAGCACAGTATGACAGATGGTGACAGCTCCATCATCAATGTGTATATCAGATTACCGTACAACAACCAATGAGTGTATATAAACTGTACCAGTATTCTGCAGCACAGTATGACAGATGGTGACAGCTCCATCATCAATGTGTATATCAGATTACCATGACAACCAAGGAATGTTTATACACAGGTTTTGAGAACTGTCGGTTGTGATGTGACAGTGTAGCTTGTAGATGTCATTGTATTCTACTGTTTCAGTAACAAGTTAACATTCACTAGAGTGCACTGGTCAGGAAGTCACTATATATAGACTTGAGTCAGGCACATGACATCCCAGAAGAGTGTAAAGACTATAGAAAGGTCAATGGCATGCTTCTGTAATCTCACATTAGTTGTAAACGTAGGGTTGTGACAAGATAAACAAATTCACCCTTGATATTCAACCTAGGTCAACATTAAAAGCTTGATCATTGTTGCTGTTAAGTGAACATTTTTATCACTGATTTTATTACTGCAACAAACTGCACTCTACTGCTACTGTAATTGTAGTGTCATTCCTACAATTCACCAACTTCTAAACATGCCACTCAAAGAAGTTATCTGACATCTGCATGGAGACAATCCAAACCATAAACTTCTTGACCCGCCTTGAGAAGAAACACATCTATCAAGCAATCACCTGACATCAGACATGGGGTAATTGTTATTTGTAATTGTAATTTGATTAATTTATATCTTAATGTAATTGAATTTTTCAATTACTTTTTCAATTACATCTCACTTTTTTTATTTTGGTGGTCATCAAGCAACCCATGCAATTATATTCAGTACAATAAGGAGGACAAAGTAGTGTTTTTCATTTAGATGCTTCTTGTCAGTATATACTCTAGCAGGTGTTTAGTTTTGAAAGAGATTTGAATGTCTAAGCCTTTGAAGTTTTAGAACAAGGCATTTTTAACAGCATTTTGTATACCCAGGTATCAGCACTGACTTTGAACACTAGATAAACACCCTTTGTTAAGGTGTTAACTGCACTCATTGTCACACAAAGGACCCTGTTATATTCCACGCTTGGATCACTGGCATTTGCTACACCAATTTAGCTAAACCTGCAGAGGTTTCCAATTCTTTGAAGAGAATCTTCCTTGGGGTACATATGTGCATTTTCTGCGACTGAAAATGTCATGTGACAGTTGTAACAATGTTTTAATAAAAGATTGTACAATGAATAAAAAAAGCCTTTTTATTTACTATACGGCCCTCCACCACATGGAGCTACCTTCCCACCATGCATGCGTGGTCAACCAGGTGAGCAGCCTAGCCCGAATTATCATTCTTTCTGCTGACAAATAGTCAGTGAACAGAATTGCGGGGATGTGGGCAGCCCTACCCCAAGGAAGATTCTCTTCAAAGATTTGGAAACCTCTACAGGTTTAGCTAATTCTTTTTCATAGAGAGCTTCCTTGGGGTACATTTATGCATAAACAAAAGACTCCCAAAGGCTAGGGAGGTGGGAATTCTGTTACCGTACAAGAAAATAGCGATATCGTAAACAAACATGCTACTTATGCCAAAACACTCACCTGGTCACGTGACCCACAACTCGGCGAGAGGCATGATGGGTGGTGACCCGTAGGGGAGAATGTACGCTGATTCTGATACATAGTGTTAAATACATGAGAACACAGTAATGTTCAGTAGTGCCCCGCCCACATAGTGATACATAATCAAAAGAGCACCGAAAGGGTGAACCCATAACAATATAGTCAAATCCAACAGAGGATAAATTGTGATGAGTAATAAAAGCCTTCAATGGATAGTCGTTAAGAGCAATTCGAACACAGAACCAAACCAATGATCTGACACTCACTCGGTCAGGGTTGCAGGACACTGTACACTGGAAAGAGCAGACCTACCCAACAGAGCACGCTCTCGAGAGTGCATGTCGGTAGTGCCGAATAAAAGTACTCGGCTTGCTCCAAATAGCGGAGGAACAAATCTCTTCAATGGGCAGTGCCGCTGCAAAAGCTTTCGAAGTAGCCACTGCCCTAACCAACTGAGCCTTCAACCCCTCGGAGGGAGGCCTACCTTTAGCCTGATAAGCTGCACATATAACAGAAACAAGCCAGCGAGATATGGTCTGTTTACTGGCAGGAACCTGAGCATTTCTGCCACTGTAATAGCAGAACAGCTGGGTACCCATACAGATACCCTGTGTTTGTTTGACAGACATCCAACGGGTGAGTACGTGTAGGATTGGTCCCAGATGTAGAAGGCTGGGTAAGAGTGGGAAGATCAATAGGAGCTGTCACGTGGAAGCGTGATCGATCTTCGGACGGTTGCTATCCGGGAGGCAAATACTGACACGGTCTGGATGGAAAACCGTCAGTGCCGGATCAGATGACATCACGTGAATATCACCAACCCTTCTACCGGATGTCACTGCCACCAGAAAGGCTGTTTTCCATGTTAACAACTGAAGTGAAATAGCCGATAGATGTGAGGAAACAGGACCGGACAGCCAATCTAGCACGACTGACAAATCCCTAGGTGGGCTGGTTCAACGGAGAGCAGGTTGAACCAGATCCATGCCAGCTAAGAAGCCCTGCATAAGAGGCTGCTGCACCATCGACAGGGTTGTGAAAAGTGGAAATAGCAGTGGAGTAGCCACGAATGGTCAAGGCCGCCAAACCCTCTT